TGGCATTCTACCTGACATTTTCTCTGACATCTCTTCTGGCATTCTATCTGACATTCCATATGTGACATCTTGCGCTTGCACTCGCAATTATCGCAATTGAGGTCCCGCAGTGCCCACTGAGATCTGGCTCTCGCAGTTGACGTCCGGCAGTGCCCACTGAGCTCTGGCGCTCGCCGTTCAGGTCCGGCAGTGCCCACTGAGATCTGGAGCTTGGAGCTCGCGGTTGAGATCCGGCAGTGCCCACTGAGATCTGGTTTTGGGAGGAAGCAGGAGGAAGAAGGAGGAATGAGGAAATAATGATAAGATCTAGGGGGCTTAAAACATCTCAAAATGCTTCGAGAAAAGTACGACCCAGGCACATCATCATCTGGCTCGGAGTCAGCCTCGTCGCTGCCCTGGTGAAGCGTTTCGGAGGATTTGGGACTCTGGTTTCATCATGACTATGCCGGGAAATCCGTAAAGAATCTATAAATGAAGGTATTTTTCAAGGGAAAGAAAACATGGTGGTTTTACATGGTTTTACCATATTTTACCCATCTAACCCTCCTGGAACATGGTGATTCTCCCCATCAACGGTTGGGATTTGATGGGAAAATCCCTGAACTAAATGAAGGTTTATGGGAAAGGCATCTTCAAATGATTATTTGACAAAAAAAGGTTTGACTACCAGACGGTACTCCAACACTCTAAGCCGTAAAGACCTAATCTGGCAATGGAACTCTTGATGGAATACATTCGTTTGTTTGCCCTTTACAAATGATTTTGGCCTTTGGCCAAGGAAAATAAGGATTTGCCATCACTATCGCAATGTTGGAGTATCAAATGTAATGTAATGTTCAGATCAACATCGCCGATCGGATGGAACATGAACAAGTAAGCCGACGACTCAGCCACCACTTCACGAAGATTGTAAGTATGGAACATAGCAATTCCCAGACTCCACAAAACAAACATATATGCAACGGGCAAACCCTCACCTTGCAGTTACCTATCAAATAGGTAACCAACCACAAAATCATGAGGTAAAATCACCTTGGTCACCTATATTTCAGCAGTGGAGACTGGGAGCCATCAAGGGGATATTTCCCTGAGCTGTTATTGGATACAGCTCAAGATTATCCCATGGGAAATACAACTGTTAGTGGGCTGTTCCTGGGATATATCCCAAGTATAGTTCGGTGGGATATTTGAATGATATTAACCGCAGTGTTGGAGATATTATTGAGATACAATGGGATATAGAATGATGTAGATTTCGTATGATTTCGTTGTGGTTGAGGCACCGCACTGAAAACTTTTAGCCATTGGCGTTGGGGTCACATCCCAAGTATCATTGAACATCTCAAACAAAATGAAATCACCAACCAATGTTCCCTGAAAGAAAACTGGCTGCCAAAACGCCAGGATCTATATAATGAGATCACATGGCTGGTCAAAACCCTGCGACTCACATTCGAACATCCCGAGAATTAGAGGAATCCTCATTTACATTCATTTACCACATTGCAATGTTCACCATTGCAATTTTAGCAGTACTTACTTGGCACCACAAAAAGGCTCGTCAAATGCGCCACAGACACCTCGTCGGAGAGCTCTTCGGACTCCGAATCTTCTTGGTATTCGGACTCATCCGCCGAGTCCGTCATCCCCGGGGCCTGCGAATCGTGGCCCAATGTTTAAACATATCCGTGAATAGCCTAGAAAATGCTAGGTGATCAAAGGAAGTTTAGAAGTCGAAACTCCGCTGTACGGATTTGAGGGCCCCAAAAGTGGTGAGTGATTTCTGGGGACATGGCAAACCGTGGCCACAAGGCGGTACCGCAGGAACTGTGAGGTAACTTCATGTAACTTCATGTAACTTCGTACACGTGACGAGGCAAAGTAAAGTATATGGATATATTTCTGGAGCTGTTGGGTTTACAGGGCAACAAACATAGCATCACATAACTGGGGGGCACCACTTTTCGTATTTGTGGCTTTGACTGTCAATTTCCCACCTGGCCCTTGGCCAGCCGGTTCACCATTCTTTCTCCATTTCTAGTTTTCAGATCTCAGCACTGTTCCTTCATGTCTTATGGCTTTTCCATGTCGTAATAGGGTATATGTTCATTGATATCGATAGTGAATCATCATGTTCCCATTCAAATAACCATTGGAGGATAGATCCCCATTCTGAATGGCAGACCCAACTCATTTAGCAATAGAAACATGGAGGTTTCCGGTTTCCTGAAAGGCTACGGGGTACCCCCAAATCATTCATTTTGATAGGATCTTCCATTAAACTTCTTAAACCATCCATTCTATGTCTGTACTACTGTGCTGTACCACTTCCCAAACAGGACAAATCCGTGCAGTTTTCTGTGCAGTTTTTTCAACATACCAACAGCCCAAATCCCATCCAGCTATTGGGGTACCCCCATTGATGGAACCCCCCCATGATTCTTGTCGCCAAGTGGGGGACCTCTTTGAGCTCCAGGGTGCTTTTTACCAGGTGCTACATGAGCCAAAAGCAGCGTGGTGAAATGCGCGAAGCATATCCCAAGTTACGGGGAATTCCATGATATTCCATGGGTATACTCATAAAGAGATATAACTACCCCAAGTCCAAGTGACCCCCAAGTGAAATGATGTTCTTCGCAAAACACACACACACAGGTCTGTCTGGCATGCCATGTATAGTAAGTGCATCCATTGTTCATAGCTGACGCCCTTGCTGCTCAAAAGTGGTTGCTGATCTGTTCAGTCCATTCAATTACTCAAGCAACCAGTGAGAAAGAGGCACCTGTGATGCGATGCAACTAGATAAAATGGAGATTCCACCCACCATATCTTACAGGAAATGGGAGAACATGGGGACTTCAGTAGACGGAGAATTTGACAGTTCAACCCACAACAGCGGGGAAACCCTGGGATGCAAATAAGCAGTAAAGTATGGAGACAAGTCAATACACACGCTCATATTATATGACCCAAGATATTTAAGTGACGTCAGCAGCAAACCGGAATGAACCCCATGATTCAATGAATGCCATGAAGAAACACACAAACATACGCACACACACACACATTCATCTGTATTTCACAAGGTCCTTGCCCAAGCCTCTGGGACCCAAGTGTTAGAAATTCAAGTCGTCAGATTTTCAGCGGAAACAAAGACTAAGCCTGAAAGTATATGGCATCCAGTGTACAAAAGCTGCAGGGAACTTTAGGTTTGGGGCCAAACAACAGTGTTGTTTAATGATTTTTTTGCTGAACATCGTTGACGACATCGTATAGAGTTATGAATGGATTCAATCAACCAGTGCTTTTCTGGTGGTTTGGCTTGCGGTTGTTAAGGGGCAGCCGTGCGAATGCTGGCAGCAACCAACCCAAACCACCAGTTCACAATTGGTTGATCATGGTTATGCCGCACATCTTAACTTCAATCACAACTTTGTAGATTTCACCAACTCATAAGCAAGGCAATGTTGAATAGTAGAATAATCAACTAATTGCTCCACCTAAACTTAAACTACGAAATATATCGCATTATGTCTGTTTTCAACCGCAGCTTAGTCCAATAAATCCCTTGCAGCTAACACAACTGGATAGCTGTAAATGGCTAAACTCTTTTTGCCTGCAAAAAAACATAGTAAATGTGAGTAAACGGAGACACACGGATGTAAATGGGGGTTTCTTAAAATCGTGGATCCCCAAGTCACCATTGGTTTCAAATGTTTCAATCTGCTTCAATATATACCAAGCTGTGGTCGTTCATGACTTGGATGATTTGGGGTACCCCCCCCACCCATTTTTGGGGGAAACCTCTCATCCACAGATCTGATCGTCACCCCATTGCGGAGACCCGGACTTGCTGGCGTTCGGCCTGCAGTTGTCGGCCCTCGGACCTCGGGTTTCCAATCCATGGGGGTAACCCCAGTTATCATCCATTCTTGTTAAGGATTTTCCATGAAATAAACCATCCAGCTATTGGGTACCCCCAATGGCACCCCCCAAAGAATCATTCGCTAAGGTAAGAATTGGCTGCAACAAGGCCACTCCAAGATGAAAATAGCTGAAACTTGCGGTCATTTGGGGATGATTCCTCATATCCTAACCATCATTCCAGTGACATCACCATGTGAGATCACTATAATTCGTCCAGATCATTTGATTCCTACGTTCCTGTGATAACCACAGAGGTAAACTCGCTAATCATCATGTAAATCCCCTACAGTTTCCCAACTCTTTGTGGGTGGACTCTTAGCATATCACTTCTCCCGATGATCTCATGGCCAGAAAATCATCCAACGGAACATGATTTCGTCCCAAGATCGATTACCCAAATCTCAGATTTTTTCGGAGGGATCTGGAATGATCTGGAGGAATTCTAAAGCTGGATCAATTGGGGCCAATCATGATAGGGTCACAAACCATCCCATGTCACAGATGCCCAAATGTAGCTAAACATTCCAGCACCATCTAGCATCTGGGTATGTACCTGAAGTTACCTTAAATAACAACATCCGAACATATGTTCCCATACGTTACTATAAAATCATTTTAAGCTAGATCGGCCACCAAAGCCCTGTTCCTCCTGTCATACAGCGCTTTTCTCCGGCAACACGGCCGCGGTTCATTGCAGAGGCTGCAAGTCGGTGTCCACGTATCTGGGGAAGACAGGACGGCATGAACATGCGGAATCCTCAAAAATGGTCTTTGTTCCTTAGAAGGTGGTGCCCAGTTTGTTAGGTAACTTGGTGCACAAAACTAGGCTAACGGATGGGTTTATGTGGAAATTGGATGCAATTGGAGGATACATCTATGGTTAGCTCGGTTTATAAATCAAGTGCTAAGCGGGGGGGCACCACCTTGTACAGGTGGAACCCCCGGGTTCTTTTCTATGGTTTCACGATTTCGGGGGCTGCCTGAAATTGGATACTCCAAAGATCATCAAAGATCCAGAAGCAAATTAGGCTATTTTTCCCATACAGCCAGATCCATTTCTGTTGGTGTGTATGCCAATGATTGCTAGTTGAAAGATTCATGTTTATTATTTCAGAACCGAACGTTCACATCGGCTTGCCGAAAAAATAGAGTTCAACCACTGGTCACCAGGAAAAAAATGTTTGGCTCGTAGAATGGCCTACATCTTTGGGAGGTGAAATAAGGAAAGCAACTGCTTGATCAAACTCATCAGGCCTCAACTTGCCAGTGGCGTCCTTGAAGTAGAAAGTCTGCGTCAAAGGGGATCTTTGGAATTCAGAAACATCAAACCAAAACGTCTTTTGGCAGAACATCATCTATCTTAACACTCAATATTGATACTGTATATACCAATACATGCCAACTAAACACTCATCTTGGGGATTGTGTGTAACTGTATCTAATTAGTCTTGTCCGATTCAAAATCAACTGATAAACCGGGGTCGGAAAAATAATGCCACCAGTCAAAGAGAGAATAACGCGAGAATAATGATACATGTGCACAAATCACGCAGAGTTTATGACAGGTTCAGATGGATCCACTCACACTCAACAGGAATTTCCGGTATCATAAATATACCAAGAAATCTGCCAAACCATTTTTCGGATGATTTCTATTCTTCACAAATGGTCAACTGCAGAGTTTTAGGGCAGATTAAATAATACTAATGTGTTCCATTCGGCCTCAGAACCTGAAGAGTTGGGATGTATAGTTTAGGGTTTGCAAGGTAAAATATCCCAATAGATACAAATTACTCTTTTGGTTATTTAACATAGCCATGGAAAATCATCACTTTTAATAGGTACATCATCTATACATAATACATGGGTCATGTTCCATAGCTATGTTAAATCACCAAAGGGTATATCCAATTAATGATGTACATCCCAACCAATCAAATGGTATAGTGGACCATTACAACCTAAAAATGTGTTGGTATTCCAATGGATTAGACACCAACTCTGCACTTACATGGTTACATTAATTCTACCCAATACGTCGCTCCCGAAGCTTAAATATACACCCCGTATGATAGCGTATGATCCAAGCATTGACACCCTGTTTTTTATAGTGGACAATAGTGTATATTATATACATATATATATATATATCATTTTATATCTGTATGTTCTAGTGTATTCACCCTGTTTTTTATAGTGGATAAATGTGGAGAATAGCTCTATATCCCACCTCAAATAGAGCCAATCCAAGGTTAGGTGGGAGGCCTGGCTACAAAGCCATGCACTTGCAGTTGGCCCCATAAGGTGGCTCGATGGCGTAGTTCACTTGCGAAAAAAAGGGGTTTATAATATTTATACAAGTATATTATATATATATATAATTATATATAATATATATATATAAACATGTTACAACTATGGGGGAAAACAACTCGATAGTTAACTGATGTGAACTGGGTCTGTTAATTCAGAGTTGCAGACGTGCCTTGCTGGAGGTTCTTGACTTTCGCATACGGCGTTGAAGGATCCTGGCGCTGGGCAGCTCCACTGGAAGGCTGGCAGGGGTCGAGACTTCGTATCCGACTTGGTAACGGAAATGTCTCCAAATAGATGTCAATTTATAGGGTAATACGCATTTAGGATATTACCACAATGGTAAACATAAAGTCCTGCGATGATAATCTTACTGGTGCTTAGCAGGGAATGGATGGGACTGGGGGAATGGGATGATTGTTGCTAGTGATTATGGATCATTCTCTCATTCCCTACTAAGCACCAGTAAGTAATACATTTGATAAAACACTGCAAGATTAAGTGCCAAAGGGTGGCTCAACTTGATTGATTCGAAGCATTTGGAAGTCGTACCCTCTGGTAAACTAACAGTTTGGGAACTTGAAAATGGTCATAGAAATAGTGAGTTTTCCCATGAAAAATTGTGATTTTCCATAGCTATGTTAGTTTACCAGAGGGTATCACTGGTAATTTCGAAGCGGTGCCAATCGGATCGGCAGACGTGCCTGAGGATTCCTTGAAAGGCGTCCTGGCAGAGATCCACTCGGCCATGAGAGGAAGCCTGTTGGTTATATGAGATGATGTGTCACCGTATCTAATTACATTTATTTATATATACACTATACCATATACACTATAGCATATATTCATAATATATATATATATATTATACATATATATATATACATATATATATATTATAGACATATCACATCCCAAGCATCAAGAATGTGGTACCCACTCAACAAAGTCCGTGCAACTGGGCACTTTGGGATAGCTGATACGGTGATCTGGTAGTCAAACATGGCAATGTTTGATAAATCAGAGGCTTACCGTATCTATGTTCCCGTCATATCCGATTAAATTAGTTTCTTCATGTTGGTTATATTGTGTAAATACAATGCATTACAATATATATATATATTATATATATATGTAGTATGTTATAGTATGTCACAGCCTATAGTATCCCATTAAATCACAACAAATCACCAGAGGGTACAAAGAGAAGTACCACAGCCTGGCCTGTCCATCCTCTTCTGGACAAACTCCATGCTGTCGTTGCAGGTGGGAGCGAACGTCCAGTTTCTGCCATGGCACCGCGTTTCAACCAGGCAATATTTCCGTAGAAAATGTGGATACAACGTGGTGCCCCCAAGATGGATAAGCAACCTGGTTTAGAACTGGGCTAAGTGGATCTATTGGGCTAAGTGCCTTCCAATCATCATGCACTAGTTCCAGTCCCAAAGATTGAAACTTCATTCACTCCGCTGGGAGCTAAGTGGATCTACCCTGTGGCTATTTAACATAGTCATGGTATAGATGGCCCATTTATAGATGGTTTACCTGGGTTTACCTATTAAACATGGTGATTTTCCATGGCTATATTAGTCATAACCAGATGGTATAATGATCTTGGTGGATGTACAGTTGGATGGGATCTTATGAGGCTCAAAGAAAGTGTCAAGGTAAATCCCTGAAAATTGTCATAGGAGTGAACCCTGCAACATGATGCCCCCAGTTATGTGTCTTTGTTTATGTCAACCCAAATAAGTAGTGCAATAAATCGTTCTATCATATATCCCTAATCCAACAGTCAGCCTGATTATATTTGCCAAGCTAACTAACAGACTTGGGCACCACCTTGTGGTTTTGGAAGTGGTAGTTTCTCATCAACTACTCGTCGTGTCACACCCGGCCTTTGGAGGATAGAAGTACCTTGGCAGATCTGGGCGTTGGGTGGAGTTGGGTGCCATGGTGCTACCTCAGTGCCATGGTGCACAGTAAGATTCATTTCATTTTGGCAAGGTGCCAATCTTACTATGAAATGACTTTTTCAATCCTCCAATTGATCAATTGGCTGTACCCCAAGTACATGGCTATGTTGAAATGTGATAAACTATGGTTTTTTCATTTCATGGCCCAGCTGTTCCACGAGCCAAATAAGAACCTTCCAGCCGCGTTGCCAGCAGCGTATTCGCTTTGCCTCCATGCTATGCACCAATAGTTGGTCATGGGCATGTGAGCTAGACTTGCCACGGTTCTTTCTGTAGTGTACCCAGAATTGCTTGGCACATGTTCTGTTCAACCGCGAGGATCAGCATTTATCATCTGGTCAAATCATTAGTTCAAGTACCCTCGAGCAAACTATGATAGATATGGGAAGACCCAGGGCTTCTGAAGGAACATATATATTCTATCTAAAATGGTGGGTGTTAAATGATGTTCCATGTCTATGTTGTATCTATGCGTGTGTTTTCCCCATACCTATGTTCATTTTCCTGAACATAATTGCCTGTTTTGGACCTTTCCCAGCACATGGATCATCGTAAACCCGAATTAATACATCAAGGGCATTACAAGTCTATTTCAGGGACCATAAGGACCATAATAAACCCATCAACCAGCAACCAGCCATTGTTTCTGGAGTGTATTTCCATATTTGATAGGTAAAACTTAAAACCCATCAATTTCCGAGTTAAAACCCCCATCAAACGCCAACTGCATCAACCGAGGGTGTCTTTGAAAACACCAAGAGGAAACCATTGATGTCGCGACCGAAATATTTCATCCAGATCCAGATGAATCAGTTTCTATTGTCCAATATGAATTATATACATTATCAATCATTATCATATTAAATACATACCTACCCTCTGGTAAACTAACATAGCCATTGAAAATGGCTATGTATAGTGGATTTACCCATTAAACATAGTGATTTTCCATAGCTATGTTAGTTTAACAGAGGGTAATTTATACCCCCGTTGTGGTTGGTGAATATCCAAGATCTATCCAAGATCTTCCCAGGCCATGGCAGGTCATCCTCCGACCTCATCCATGTACTCCTGAACCAAGCTCTCCGGCAGAGAGCGCAAATAGTTGATCAACCTTCGCTCAGGAAACGATGTTTGATGAACGTGAAAATTTGGGATCCAGTTTATGGGGTAAGCCTCTGGTGCTTTTTTGGGCTATCAATGAAGATAGGTGTGGGAATAACATGGAATAACATCCATAAAGTTGGGATAGATATATATATATATAAATATTAAAAATAAATGTGTATATATATATATATATCGGTTTCCGGTTGCAACCAGTTCCTTTCCAATAGCTAACTGGGGCTTGGGAGATGGGTGATGCCGCTAACCTAGTAGGCGTTGAGGCTCCAGGGGGAAGGAGCCATAGCGCCATGGTGGTTTGGCGCGATATATCTTCATCAGAGGATGATGAGGATGAACCTTTAGGGGACCTTAAGCTGCACTTACTTTTGCGTTCAAAGATGGTTTAGCTTGGTTCAGGTTGATTATTGATACGATCTCCTTTCTAAGGAATGGCTTACTGTGGAGCAATCCTGCTACATCTATTGCGCGGATGAGTTCCGACGCAAAGCTGGTTACTTGTTTTTACTGCATGGATTTAGTTCGCTAGGCTCCATCCACCTAGATCATCAAAGGGATGCCACCCATCTACTTCAGGTTTGAATCACATCCTGGACAAGTGGAACACGCCTTTGGGTTACTGCAGCGATTGCTTCTTGTCAATAGAAAGGGGTAACCAATGATCAGTTGTGTTTCATTACACCCATCTTTACCCCATGAAACATCATTGAATCTTGAGGCTCTGGGATGGACACTCCGCTCTACGCTCTGGGGATGCTGCTGGGTGACAAGAAAGATTGCATCCAGTATTTGTACTTTGGCTCCATTGGTTTTGATATCATTTTGCTGACAACATCCCCAATTTTTTTAATCAGCATGATGGATTTTTGAATTTATAAAGTCCAGCCCCATATATACTATATATTATTATAATGTATATATAACATAGATTCAGATTTATCTACCATGATGTCCATCCGAGGTCCAATTCAGAATGCAATCCTGCAGCACAAAGATTTCTTCGGATGAATCACCCTGCTCCGCTGCAGTAGCTTATCCAGCATACAGCGTGAGCATCAAAAGATGTAGTATGTAACAACAGGTATTAACCAATTGATGTTTGATGTTACTATGTAGTGACTTAACATGATGCAGTGTTTCAGGTCGAAATCCGATATCTTTCAAAAGGATACCTGGCAGTTCCGACAATCGAAGGTGGGGTTTCATTTTTTTTGACAGAAACCTGAAACCAGCCATGAACTCTAACTCTGCAGTCATTCCTGCAGGTGGGGATCTACGCTGCAGGGTTTCCATGTACTCCTTTCTCCTCCCTGCACTTTGATACTAGTCTCCTTGGAGAGGAACAAGCGAAACCCATGTGGGAAACCATACGAAGGATCAAGAGCCTTCGTCCAGCTGTTACTCGATTTGAAGTTGTCTGATCTTAGTCATTAGTCTGACAAATCCATGATTCTTTAGATGGCAACTGAGAAACGCAATATTTTGACTTGGCAACTCATCTTTCCAAGCTGTGTTGGAAGATTTGGACTATGCTAGGCTGGCCTACTGGAAAATGTGACTGGCTTCAAACGTGTCATCAACATTGTGATGGATGTTCTCCATAAACAGTTGCCAGAGAAACTTGGTTGTACAAAATACGAACCCATGACAAATTTGATCAGTGATGAAATAACACACCAACAAAAATGTTTCCCAGCTAAGGTACAAGATCACCTGGGTGGAGCTTGACCAGAAACTCGGTGATCTAGATAAAATAAAAGTCGAGATGTTTTAACTCATGCTATCGAATTTCAAATCATATCGAAACCAATCCTTTCCCTGATATGGTTGGGTGTCAGGAAGAACATGGGAAGTCCAACAACAAGATCCCGTGTCTACATCATCTTGGTCTTAGAAGAACTGATCCTGCGCCATGCAGTGATCAACTTTGAGAAATTTGTTGCGGATATGGTGTCTGACTTCGACATGCCAACGGATTTGCATTGGAATCTTGACTATGTAGATGATTTGTATTGGAATCTTGACTTCAACATGCTTCATCCCCAAACCTGCCACCCAACTATATATTCCAAGGCGAGACTTGCTGCTGCCCAAAGCGCATCCGGTTGTCAAGAAGACCATGGAGGACAGGATGCGGAAAACTATGAAGTTACTTGGCTTAAAAAAAACACACATAGACATGATGGAGTCTCCATGTGAACTTGATGCCATGATCTTTGCATGGCATGACTCTATCTATAGGCCTGGAAAGCAATCAGCTGGCTGGATGAAAAAACATCGCGAATGGGCTCGCAACCACAAGGCCCTTGACCATCACTCTCAATTTGACTTGGAACCAAACTAACAGTAATCATATCATATCTACCATGGCATGTTGGCATGCTGCAGGTGACCCGGGCCAGTGGCACCTTCAGCAAGTTGTACCCTGGGTTGGTCAACCAATTGTCGTCCCGGAGGGAGTTGAAGGCCTTGTATATTCTCAGGGAGCTATCTTAAATTCATTCGTCCTCTGATTGCCACAAACTGTGATGTTACATGTTTCCCTGTAGGCCCTCGATTTACATACCCGTCGAAAAGGAAGATTTCAAATTGCGAACACATCGCAGTCCATACACCGCATGAGCTTGACCTACTGTGATGCCCCTGTGCCCTGCTTAACGTGGTATCCTTAGATCATCGAATTTCATTGCATCTTTTGAATCAAACATACTCCAGCGATCCACCCTCCAGCCAACACTCACTCTGTCCGGTGCTCATGAGGCCCAATTGCACATTCCTGCTGGCGAAGGAAGGCAGATTTCTGTGTGGGCTCGAGGCGTTGATCATGATGGGGATGCCAGTTGACCAAATCAAGTGGGAACCCTTTTCCGACAGGGCAACTAAATTGCACTTAATGTGTGCTAATGTCACGACAACCAAGAATCAAGAACTTAAAGTTGGAATCAGTTTTTCGAATTTTGCTCTCTAAGGCACTGATGAAACTTGCGGGCAATGGGATGCACGTAAGATGTGTTTTGGCCGTCCTGTGTATCATATTCAGAGCGTTCAATCGCCAAAAATTGGCAGAGTACTTAGCCAGATGAATAGCCATCAAAGGTACATGGCGCTTTGTACCAACTTTCGCATCTTCAAAGCATCCAATGGAAGCTGGTTGGAAAAAACACAAAGTCTCTATATACATGTCTCTACTTTGCTGTTGATTCGTGAATAGGATGCATGGATTTTCGATCCTGGAGAAGGGGTTCAAACTTAGGTGAACATCCACAGGGATCATAGGGAACCCAATGCGACACTCCCATGATCATGAATGTAATCCATTTGATTTCCATGATATCCACATGACATGCATGTGGCTTCAAAACGGCGCTGCGATGGCATCCATATGACATATGTCCAGTATTGTCTAAGATCTGATTCCTAAACCAAAACTCCGATTGTCATGTTGACTAGTCTTTATATTTTACTCAGAATGTGATAACAACATAACACCTCCATTGTCCAATCAACCACATGGGTGTCCTGTTCCGCTACGATGACAGCGGTGACGATATCGTAGCTGCACCTGTGCGACGAGCCGGGGGAGCTGGGGTATGGCGGTATGATGAGACATCGGACTATGGCAGCAGTGATGACAATGTTTCTGATTCTGATTCCGGAGATGTTGAGTGCCTAGGTTATGGTGGATGTTCCCTTTTTTGAAACTGTTGAATTGGGGAACCTTTGGTTTTGGTTTGCTCAATGTTTTTCCAATGCTCTTTCTTGCAGTCAGATGCCAAAGTACCGATATTCACTATTATTTATTCACTTATTTTGCAAGTACAAGTGAATAATAGTCAGTGAATATCGGTACTTTGGATGTTTTATGATTATGAAATAATATTATCTCTTATTCTAAATTATGATGATGTTAATGGGTTCATGTGTCGATCCAAGGTCAAATTCTGAGTCAAGTTCAAGCTTATCTAGACCGAAATCTTCAACAGTGGACATGAAGCTGGTGGCGCTTCAATCATGTCACCAATTGGGAACATCTGGGGACACATCATCATTTGCAAAACACGGTGCTGACCCAAAGCGAATTCGGGCGGTTCTCCGGAAGCCTCCTTGTGACTGTAAGTGCTCGCTTCCATCATCAGTTTTGATTCAAACATGCCGGACATTTTGGTCATTACCTAAGACATCACAGGATGCTGTTTTATGGAGCCTCCAATCAGAAACTGGCCGGAAAACTTGGAAGATAGAAGGCTTGGTCCTGAAACGGGTCGGAAGTAGAATATATGTTTTATTCATTTTTAATACCGGGTTGGGTCAACATTTTTGATTCTCAACCCCAAATCCGACCCACGCCGGCGGCCTTTGGCCTTTGAACCACCGCAGGTTATCCTCTTTGTCGAACAGCCTGGCTACGCTTCTTGGGCATTGGCAAGGAGAGGCTCAACCGAACAAGGAAGCGGTACCGGGGGATTGATGACCGCACCATCAACCAGGGTAACGTGTCAATGAACTCAATTATGAAAAAAACAAGGTCCATGTACTGGTCCCTGTGCTGTTCAATTTATGTTGATTGTTGGTATTATTTTACTGTGTGTTTCCGTTTGCCCTCTGGTGATTTGAACCCAGTCTCGAACACCCATTTCAGGCAACACTGCACATCCAGCGATCCAAACTGCTTCTGTCCATGCTTTCTTTGGACACATGTGGTGGACAGCTGGTGAGAGCATGCCCACCAAGTTACTTGATTTGTTATTTTGTTTTTCATGGTTCAGGCAACCCTGAGTAAGTGGTAAAAATGATGATGGTAAACCAACCATTTCAAATACTGCCTTGTACCCAAAACCTTTGAGGAAACCTTTCAAATACCGGTAAGTCGAATCAACAAATTTGAACTAAACATACCGAGTGAACTCAACCTGCCCAGGTTTGAATCTGAGCCAACGACCAGTGAGCACATGAGGGAGCAATTGCTCCAACGCTTGGTGGACGAGAGGCTTTTGGGGCCTACCCGGCAGGTGATGGAGATGTGTCCTGAAGAACTTCCATTAAGGGAACTTCCACCAGGATCTATGTCAAGTTTATATCTCATGTACATTGCATTTCAACGGATCTCGCATTCAAAACCAGCTTCGAGAAGTACCTTCTACGTAGTGGCGAAGCAGTGGTCTTGCTGCCTTCGCTTTAGACGCAAGTGCGAGCATGCCATGTGTGCTACATGTCAGTCTTTGAAATCACAAATTCATGCAGCGACTGACCTTTGTCAGCCACAACAGTTTTTATCCGTTGCTGTTATTTTTGTTTGTTCAGGTTTGTTTTGATGGGTATGGCTTAATATGGCCTAATCATGAATCCCCCCACTCCCCCCACCCCTCACCACCGCTGAGGATTTCAAAGTTCACGCAGAACTTTGCGATGAACTGCTGGGGCACTACTCAGCCCAATGGGCTGACCGGCAGGTGTACTGGAAGGCCCGTGAGAGGAGTTCGACTCAGAGGGACTTGTTGGTTGTCATAATAGATTCCTTTGACCGATCAAAAATATGCCTGCCATCCTGGCCACTGAAGAGAACACCTAAAAGGTCAGTTTATGAACTTCACCTGAGATACTTGACATCAACAATATTTTTTTGCAATTTTTCATTTACAGGAACTTTTGTTTTTCAATTTTGTGTTTCCCTGAACCCCTCCCATGGATCAACCAGAACCATCCCTCCCGACACTGGATTGAGGAGCATCATTGGTTCTAACTGCAGTTTTTTGCCATGGGCATGGACTTTACCTGTACCTAAGTACGGAAGAGGGCATGAGTGCTGGAAGCAATTGGAACTGGGAATGTGTATCTTGACTTGAACTAGTTTTTCATATCGCTATAATGGCAATGGTACTGATCTTGTGTTCCTCTTACCCTGGTCGCTTCTGTGGTCTTAGGTCATGCTGTCCTTGCAGAAAGTCTGGAGGCGTTGCAGGGCCACCAGCACTTCCTTTCCGGGGGAGTTTCCTGGAGTTGTCATCCCTGGGGTTTTGGATGGTAGCTTTGAGATTTTGATGATATCCTTTGATGATAGCCTGCTGCCGTTTGCTGTTTCTTTGGATGAGTTAGTGGTTGCCTTTTTTGTTTGAACATCTTAGGCTGTGGCTGCAAAGCGATAACACGGTCAAAGAGATACGTAACAACAACGGAGCCCGAATGTTGAGCGTATTACTCCAAACTGGAGTTTTCAGAACGACATCACAACATCACCTCACAGTTGGACACACCCACGAGGATATAGATGCTGTTTTCAGCCTTTGTACGGCATGTTTGCACACTGCTCCCCGGTTGGAAACCCCGCGAGACATTGCCCAGCGAATTGACGAACGTGTGGGGCCAGTTTTTAGGAAGAAGGGTGTGGAGTTTTCAGTTGAGCTTTTGGGTGTGGTGCTTTGGTTGCTTTGAGTAGTTTTTTTCTTTTTTGCATAGGCGATGGGTATACGATGGGTCTAGTTCTCAAATTAAGGATCTTAGAATACATATCTTCCTGTCCCATTGATTTTGGCGCATCCCTTAAGGCACGACAATGGACATCCATTCTTCCTGGGGCTGTTACATTCAAAAATGCTTTCAGGGCACGAAAACCAGATGCTGAAGGGGAACGGGTTCCATTGCCGCAGAGTTTCTCCTACATGCTGCGATCAGGTGGCTGGACATTATTGATATTAATCTATTATGTATTTTTATATTATATCATATATTATTTATATCGCGATTTCTCCATGCAATAGGTATGTGTTCGATATCATGTAAACACGTTTTAGACATGTTTACGTACATGCCCTTTTCAGCTAGGTCTTCCACATCAAGGTCAAGGATTAGAGTTGGATGAGCGGCAACCGAGGGCTTGGAGAACTCAGGATGGGTCTCGGGATGTGTTCTGCATGGTGAAACAAGCCATGAGTTCCACGCAGCTTTGTCAGAACCCGCTTCTGGTTTGGCCAGCTACATTGGGGGCCCAGTCCCAAAAGATGCTTGAGGATTGCAACAGCCCCACTTGCCCAATTCAGGGGTGTGAAATCAGCGACGATAGGATTGAGGAACTGAAATTGCTACGGGAGGCTATTTCACGGGACTTCCCTCACATGAGAAGGACTGTTGCATGGTACACTGGAATGATCGATAAAACCAGGGATTCCTCAGTGCGACCAATTTCTTTGACTTTTGTGCGGCACAACACTGCACACGATTTAGATAATGTGAATGTTCAACTTGGGCAAAGACCTGTGCCCCCGAAACCACATGAACTCCAAGTGGTGTTTCACCGGGCCAGGCTTTGATGTTTGGGGTTGTGGGATTACGGGAAAAAGGACACCCTGGCAAGAGTGAACCATGAACACAATGTGATCAATATGTGAAGTATCTGTGACCGTGTTTCATGTGATCAATTTGTGAACGGGTTTCATTTGTGCTGGATGTCACTGCTCATTCTTGGTGTCAGGTCTGAATTTACTTGTTAGCTTTCAGCAAGGCTTGATTTGACTGGGTGTGGGGGCGAGGGTAGTCGCCATGGATGCCAGTGTCTTTGAGGGGGATGCACATCTAGAACAACTGATGACATATTTCGATACAGTTACTTGGATTATTTTATTTTGCCCATTTTGGCCCTCGGTGTTTGTTGGTGTGCTCCATGGCATGGTCATTCCGAATTTGTGATTACTGTTGCTCAGTTTTCTATTGACATTGCTCTCTAAGGTGGTAGCTTCCAAAAACTTGGGGCAACATCTTCAAGATGTCTTTGGTGACGATGACAAAATGGACAAGGTTTGGGTCTCAAACTCGATGTCAGAAAAGTTGTACCAACATGAATTTGATTATCCTTTGGCCCCAAGGCCATCTTCCACTATGTCCTAGATGGTGCTTCGATCCCAGCCAGCAAAGCGCCCCTCAACCTGATTCCAGTTGATTCCATGGAAGAATTCTGGCTTCCCTTGAACAAGTTCAATTTTGGACCTGACTCCAAAAATGGATGCCGGGTTGGGTCGAAATTGGGGTGGTGCAGTTGATGTTATCAACATTCATCTGTTGTTTAAATGATTTTGAATATAACTTCTTTCTGCTGTTTTCTGTTTCATCTTTGGGTTTCAATTTCAATCTACTGAATCCAGCTCGATGTAGTGTTCCAATTTGGGCTTCTTGTTTTACCACCTGTTCCCTGAAGTCTACCCATCCAACCAGCAGTATGCCGCCCACTTTGGTGAGTTCCTCCTGCGTGGATACAAACCAGCGATGGGCACCATCGACTGCAAGTTTCCATTCAGAGATTCTACCCGTGCGATCAAGGATGGGAGTGTGGGAATCGTTGACGGTTTCACAAAGGTTCTCATAATGTTGGCGATAGTGGGATTCTTAGTGGAGCTTGAGGTGAACCGGGATGATCTCAATGGAACAAGGTTGGGGGAGAGCCTCAAATCGTTTGCAGCAATCCGATGCACATACCAGCACTATGACAACCCAAGCCATCACTTTTTGCTTTCTTTGAGACACTCGATATGGTAACTTTGATGTTTTGCCTTTAATTTGTCAAGCCATGACGTAAAGTGTGTTTTTCAATTTGTCATTTTGGGTATGTCATCTTATTGTAATTTGGATTGTCTGGGATTTGCTTCAACCCTGTGTACTAAGAACTGGGGTACGTTACAGCTGAAAAGATCTCGCCGAGCCCAATCAGTATGCTTGCTGACATCCAGCAAGCCATCAACATAGAGCGCAAAATGAACAAGTCAAACAAGGCTTTGAAGGACATCATGGCTCGTGTGGTATCAGACTACAACAAGATGGTGTCGATCAAACGACACAAGATCGATGGGGCCAGACGCAATTTGATCTACAACCTGTTTCTTAGCCAAAAAAAACAATCAATCAATGAATCATTAGACATTTCCCAATCACTACGGGTCCCTTGTTGACGTGTTGTAGCCGGTTTGTCAGGCTGCGACTTCCTCAAGCCTGCCTGGACTTGCTGCACAAGCATTATGATGGCTATCGTCACGAACAGTCAGGTTGGGTTGGGGGCACTTGGCCAAAACATGTTCTTAGATTGTTTCATGGTGTTTTCTTACAAAGCCCTATGTGATTACTGTTGGCTGCCGATTCTGGTTTCTGAATGTCATTGTATCAACCCTGTAGGACTACCCCATGACGTGCTGACACATGATTTTTTCGTTCCTGGTTCCACCACGCGGAAAGACTGTGATATCTACAAGGGGAAGGAGCTGTTTTCCACTATCTTGACAACCTCCCCAGAGACATGTGCGACCTACTTCAAGAGGGCCATTGAGGACGGTTTTGTTTTGTCCATTTTATGTTCTTGATTTTTTATTCCTGAAATTGGTTTGGTTTCTACTTATAACGTATTGAACTTATTATCAATGACAAGTAATGCCGGTGTTACCCATGAGGATTTCTGTCGAAGAGCAGGGCAATCGGCCACTGTGAAGAAGAAGGAGATCATGGGGAAGGGTTCACCAGGGGAGGGGGGGTTTCAAAATGCGCCCCAATTATTTATCTCGGGTTTGATTGATAATATGGTGGCCCAATAATATCCCAATTATATTTACCATTTTATGACTCTATGTCGCTTTAAAATTACAGGCACCTACATGCAGTGAATCAAAAAAAACCATTCCAGGTTTCCAGTTCCATCCAAACATGCCCCCCCCGACCTGAGAAACAAAGCCAAATCTCCGAAGATGAGCACTTTCTGCTCCACGACGTTTGCTGCCTGTGGCTCTGGGTCAAGCAGAAGATGGCAGAGTCTTTTACTGTGACCGAGGTTGAGAAACACCAGGAATTGTTTGACAAGGGGTGCTTCAGCAGCAACAATCAACTTACTTTACTTCAAAGTAAATATATTGTCAAAATTTATTCGGTTGCCATTTCATCTGGCTAAGGCCAACACATGTTGATTGGTCGCCAAATTTGTTTGGCTAACCCTGGTAGGTTGTGATTGGTCGCTAAATGCAGTTGGTTAAACCCGACAAAAAGTGATTGCTAGCCAAAATATTTTGGCTAAGACTGCTTCAAAAACATGCGTGTTCCAGAAAACCCGTCACAAATAGTTGCTCGTAGCAAAATCGATTTGGCCAGCAAAAATCTTACTGGATCAATCACTTTTGGATTTGAAATTTCATGGCTGAAAAATCATGCGTGTTCCAGAAACTCCGTCATAATTTCAAGGATACCGGGGTAGTCAATCATGAGGCTCACAACTTGGGAAGATTCTGAAGATCATGGGGGTCTTGAAATACTAGCTTTTTGTGATGCGTTTTCTGGAATACCCGTCACATTAGCCATGAAAATTTCAAGATGTAAATGTGATTGATTTCTCCTGGGTTGCCCTTGGACAGCCCTGTCATCACGCATACTCGGCACCTCTGAGGCATTTGGATTCGGACCTGAGTGCCATTCTCAAGTCTGGAGAGCCCCCCGTGTTTGAACGGATCCCCTTCATTTTGGAGGACCGGTCTTTGAATGCCCTTTTGTTTTCAAAATGTAAACTACTTTTGAATTGAATCTTACATGTTATATAATGTCTATGCGTGTTTTTCGTTTCAACATCTAAATCGAACTGGATGGCTGGGCTTAAGATCTTTAAATGTTGGTCTTCCCACAAAAAGATAAGCCATGAGATGGGATATAAAATATTATATGATTGACCAGATCATTCATTCACATTGTAAACTGGTCTGCATCATCATCTCGGTCAACTTGTGCTGGGAGGCCCAAGGGAAGATGATGATCGACTATGTGGCCAGCCACCAGGATCGTTCAAAGAATGCGCTGTTGAAATCAATCGAGGCAACATACTTAGCGTGGGTGGAGGACTTGAGAGCTGATGAGGCCCAATTCGTCAGTGATAGGATCCTGAACCTCAGACTTTAACTTAGACAGCACATTTTTGTTTTTTACCCCTGCCCAGCAACGAGCTACTATATGCCACATCATCTTCTAACACTGACACATTCTATTGAAGTATCCATGTGTTGGCTTTGATTCGGTGCCCATTCTCTATATATGAAAATAAATTACTGTAACATGCGCTCAGCTGCTAGTCCCCTTGTGGCTGAGGATGGAAAAAGAGGGGCAGAAAACAAGGAACCGCTTGATCAAGCAGTTGGAGGACTGGTATCAAGGTTTTGGGGGTGTGGGATTCCATTGGAATCTGGGTTTGAGGATTCAAAATCAAACCACATTGTCAAAGATAATATGTGGCATAGGGTAAACAATCTCAGTTTGTCATTGTACTGGCCATGAGATGTGCATTGAATGAATGATAATTAGACATTCTGGTCTTCCCATCGTGTTTTCATAACCTCAGGATTGCCACAACCGCGCCTGGGAAGCAGTGGCCGAGTTCATGGGGCAGAACCTGGCGGTTTTTGCTGGCAAGGTGGCAGAGGGTGAGTCCACGGTCATGCCCAAGAGCAGGTCATGGCTAAGAGAGACAATCCAGGAGAATGCCAACTCACAGGATGTTCCGGGATCGGTTTGGGGTGGTTTGGAAATAATATATATATATATATATATCACATTATATAATATAAATATTATCATTGTAATATAATATAAGAAATATATATATATTATTAAATCATAATATTTTAAATATTAATTAGTATAAATATAATATATATATAATATATATATATTAATAATATAATATAACATAATATGATGATATATGTATATATATATACAATATATTACAAATATAATATTATATTCTATAATATAATACAACATAATATAATATAATATGATATAATATAATATAATATAATATAACATAATATGATATATTATAATATTAGTTATAAAATATAATATAATATAATATATATATATATATATATCAAAGTTATTATTCTAATTAATGTTTCTGATATGTAGTTATCATCATCTTTACAACCTTGAACAATGGATGTATATATTAAAAAAAACAGATGTTCCAATGGCCATCCGATTTTACTTGGGGTCCCAAGATAACCAGGTTGAATTCGTTCTAACAAACCCCTTATACCCAATGCCAATTGATTTCAATCATGCCAATTCATGTAAAGAGGGTTGCCCATTGCTGGCCCTTACTTGCCCCTGAGGATGATCACTCAATCTGTTTGTGGATGAATTGCACGACAATTGGAATCCTTGGGGCGCACCACAAGAATTTCATCTACAATTACGTTGCCAATGTTTTGGCAGATTATCCTTTGAATGGCATTTGCTTCCTGGTTTTCCCAAACCGTGCAGGGATGCAAGATGTCACCAGCAGGACTGTTTTCTTTTTTTTTGAGTGTATGCGACTTGCCTTGGCTTGACCAAAAATGAGACATAATATCCAAGCATGTCATTGTTGTTCTGACATTTTGCCCATGAGCCCAACCACCATGCCCACCTCAGCCCCCTGAACACGTCCTTTGCCAGGAAGAGACCGAAAGCGGAGGAAGACGACCCTGACGTGAAAGGGGGTGATGACTCTGATGAGGATGAACATGGCTTGAAAAAGGAGGAGCCCAAGGATGATGATTCCAAGGAAGCTGAAGCTGTCGAAGTTCGTGACATTCGATATGCCATTGAGAACATCCTTAGAAGTTAGAAAACTTTGTTGTTTGTCATCTCATTTGCCATCATGATATCAAATCTACTATTTATGGGGCCAATGGTATTTTCAACTCTTCAGTATGTCCAATTTAGTCCCTTCAGTTGAGGAAAGAATTTGCGATGAAGGAACGGAATCTGCGTGTTCGAAACCTCACGTGGATCTTTGACACTGAAGCTCGGACTTGATTATGGGTCTGGTGAGATCCACCCAAAAACAAGCTCAACATAAGATCATGAAGTTATTGAATCAATGAATGGGGTTTCAATCAGATCATGCCCCAAAGTTTATCCAATATTTTTTGCAGGCGTAAGGTAAGTCAGCATACTCTACATCCTCAGTAATTACAGTTTTGTATCATATTTTCAACCGTGCATGACTAGAATGATGTCTGAACTTAGCTCACTTTGTACAACCAAGGACACTGTGTATGGCAAGCGTGATGGTGTGGTGACTGGACTTGCCATTGTGAACAGGGACTCTCGCAACCTGTTCCGATCTACCCGGGGCTTTAAAACAGGAACTGTCCACCAGGTGAAGATGCATCCCCGATCGCAGATGTTCAAGCCAGAGCAGGCCTGTTCCATCAAAAATTGATTCCCAGATACCTTGTGTTACAACCAGTATCAAGGTTCCAAACAAGCATCTGTTTTGTGATGTTCTTTGTAAACTGACAGTTAGTTTGCAGTGAACTCTATAGTAGATTGATAGTACAGTAGATTGATAGTAGGTTGTTATATGAACAATGCATAACTATGAGTTATAAAGGACTTGAGTCAAATAGACTTTAGAGTGGATTGTATGCCGTAGGAACCCCTGGTTATTAATATTTGTTTTGATACTGTTACCTGCAGTCTGCTCCAGTCCAACCACCTGATGTCGCCTGCAGGCATCGCCGGGAAGGCTTCCTCACCTTGGCCGTGCGTTCACGGATGTACAGGAGCTGAAGCAGGCTTGGGAGAAACAGCTAGTCTGACCCATGGGCGGACTGGGGTGTTGTTGACCTATATATGCAGTTCTCGAGTCGATGGGATACTTAGATCCTGTTCATGTTGTGTCACTACTGACGCGGGAAACAAAGACTTACCATTCCGCCATGAATATGGGATTACTCATCATGTGTATTCTTTAGATTCGATACAATTTGTCCAAAAAAAGGAACCTTTACCTCACAGAATATGTTCAGCATGGTTTTTCAAGATCCCCTGATGAGGTGGCAGCTGGGACGCATTTCATCAAGGCCACATTGGGTGCTTTTGGCATTCCCACATCCAAGCTGACATTGTTGGTTGACCTTTTCGGCTACGATGCGTTCCCTGCATTGACATGCATCGAGGACTTCGTTTGCACATGTTTGTACCACTCCCTTACTGGTTTCAATGCGATCATAAGTCCATTATACCAGACCAAAATTACCCTGTCAAGGAAATGGCTGAGGGGAGGCACTGCCAATGTGCTACCATTTGCCTTGAGGCCTCTGGCTCTGATCTGGCTACCCGTGTTGGCAACCAGCTCTACGAGCTGGGGAGGGCAGGTTCTATCAAAATTCCATCCTTCCCAGACTTCACTCCACATCTCGAAGGTTTGAAGGCTGGCGCCATCACAGAACGAACCCAGCCCTTCAAGGTGACTGCAGTGCGGGGGAACAATTTGATGGTCTTGGACTCTTTTGCAAAGCGGTGGCTTACTACCGAATCAACCCAAGAGCGAGCACAAGCCATCATTGAATCACACAATGCAGAATATAATGTAGAAGGTGACTTCGTTTTGGTTGACAGGACACAATGTCCAAATCTCCCATGATGTTAGTCCTTGTTCAAAAACACTTACCGTACTATCTACTAGTTAGATAAACAATACATTATTCATCTGACATGACAACGGCAGTTCGTTTATACTTACCTTCAGCTGACTATATGGAGTCGCAATGTTTCTTTTTGGCATCCATGCAACGGTTAAAATGTCACCAATCTCAACAAGAAGAATAACAACAACATTTTTGTGGATAATTTCATCATAGCCATCCACTGGTTGCTCAATTCTGCCCAGCTGGGAACAGGACTGCTGGATCTGCCGAAGATGACGACGCCGAAAGACCTGCAAAGAAGCTCAAACTGGAGACCTGCTCGGAACTGGATGTTTCCAAGATCCCCAATGTGTACTTTAACTTCGTGTAGTAATTTTCTTTTGGGCCAAGGGTTTTTCCCCATGCCTTCTTATCACCCTGTATTTTTATCAGACCCTATCAGGCCACATACACAGTAAAAAAATAGTTCATCCTCTAGCTTACTGCATCCCAGGCAGACCCTGCAAATCAACAACACGTGTGACCTCATTGCGGGGGGGGATACCATGGAGAAGGTGTACCTATCATCCCGGAGCAAGAACCAATTCCTGGACAAGCGGGAGTTGTGCCTTGATTCTATTTCCTGCTTTCGGTTTCCCAACATATGACATGTTCCAGTCTTTATTATTTGATAAATTTGTTTCAAAAAGGGCATATCCATCAATCATTGTGTGTGGGAATGATACCACCTATAGCTAACTTAATAAGAAACAGTGCGTTGTGAATTCTTGAAAATTAGCATGAATCATTCATACAAAATTGGCATGTACTTTTTGTCACCTATTTAGCCATAATACCTAGCTTAAACAATGTTTACTGAATGCAGGTGAACATGATGTGTTGCATATGACATGCATGATCATGTATGTAACATACTTTGTCAAATTTATTTTATTACATCATGTACTTTACAAAAAATAAAAACACTTCATATGTTATCAGGTATCATGCATGTTCTTGCGAGCTATTATGCACCTGAAGCCATAATGGTCCACCACTGTACCACTCAGGTTTTCAATGGGCCCTGGAGAATGGAGAGATGGACAGGACTCCTGACAATGCATTACCATAATCTTTTACCATGCTCTCAATGATCCCCATGTTCCCCATGTTCCATGTTCCCCATGCCATATCCTTTGCCTCCGCGACCATCGGAAATCACCTCCGCCTGAGGAGGCTGCAGAAGTGCTCCAGGATGTGGAGGGCCGGTGGTTCAGTTTCAATGTGAACAAACAATCACTAATCATCCTGGAGAAGAAGTCGCTTCCCCAGCATTTGATGGAGATGGAAAGCTTGGAGATGGCTATCTCACTTCAAGCCCTTATGGTTGATATGCAAGATCTGGGAGAGGCAGGGTGACTTCCCAAAATCATCTAGTCTCAAAATGCGATGGTCTCAAAATCGTATTGTTTTCAAAATCATATGTCGTGATGGTTTCGCCAGAAAGATACTCAAAGATTTGTGTTTGAACGTCAATGTCAATGTTTGAACTTCAATGTTTAAACACTCTGACCCATGTAATCTGAAGGTCAAAGTCGACGTGAGCCACCACACCTTCAATGAGACTATGGGTGACTGGGTGAACTCGAAGCAACTGGTGTTTGTCATGGATGAGTTTGTTGCCCCTGACTCCGGCAAAAAGGGCAAGGAGAAGAAATCGAAAAAAAACCTGACCTTCAAGAACTTTGGCTCGGCCTTGTCTGTCTCTGCCATGAAGTCGTCCAAGTCGGTTTGCATTGCCTGGCGATGCAGGCTGGTCCGACACAGATAGCTGAACCCCAACACCTGTAGCAAAGTGCTAAGGAACCCTGATTGATTAATGTTAATTCAAGTTCAATCCATAATTACTTTATTAATTACTGTTACTATGGTTACTATGGATTGAACTTGATTGGACATTATTGAAGGGTGACCTTTGATGCCCACATATTCCTGATATCTCAGTGCTGACCTACTAGTCATGCCCCTTCCAGGATCGATTGCAGTGCTGAGAAAGGAACAAAAGTCTTGATGCCGATTCGCCCCGTGGCATGTTTGGAGGGCATTGTTGATCTAGGGGAATCCGTAGTCAGGCTCGTCTGAATGGCTGAGGCTTAGAGACAGTTTTCTTCTTTGAAGATTGTGGCCCATTGTGGCAACCAGTTTTGGGATAATGGTGTTTCAGTGTTTCAGGTAAAAATCACAAAAGAAAGATGTTTTCCGTTTACTTTGAGATCTTTGATGCGGTAAGACAAGCTCACAAAGCGGGCTGCATTGCGCTGAGCTGGTGCAGGTCATGGCACTTTTGATGTTCCCAACTCACATGGGCGAGTGGGGTAGGTTGGGAGTGACTACTCACATGGGAGATCTGTCTATTGATTCTATTGCCTGTTATTAAAATCAACCCCTGAGTTTGGTCAAATTTGCGGTATACGGTGTGAGTATGTCAATCCTTTCCTCTTTGTGTACTGTGCAAAGCAGCAGCGCCAAATCCAAACCCAAGAGCAAAAACTTGTGCCTACTGAGTGTGTGCGTGACGATGTGTTGCAAACAGTATGTTGTGGAAACCAACTGGCGATATGATATGACAGTCATGATATGATATAAGAAGTGGTTTGACCATTGATAATAATAAATGATAGTTTTTGATGCATGATATATGAAGAATGGTATGGTAGAGTATGCGGCGTTTGGTGTGTGATATGTGGTAGTTTGTGCAGTGTTTTGATGTGCTGAAAAGGTATGAAAAGGTTTCACAGATCAGATTACAGTGCCTTGACCATGCGCGTAGCATTTTGCTTTTGGCGTCGCTTGGTGGCCGCGAAACATGGCGGATGAGAGTGATGATGAAGTTCAGGAGGTGCCCCTTACCACTGTCCTAAGACCACCTGCCCCTCGCCTTTATGATAGTTTTTCCATTATTTGTTGATCAGTTTGGTTTTACTCTCTGACCCTCTGCCTAGTTTGATGTTTGAGTTTCCTGTGTGAATCAATTTACATCAATCTAAAGCAGTTTAGGCTTTCAATCTTCAACGGCTGACGTCGTCTTTCGGTCTTGGTGGGTCATCATCGTCTCCCCTGCCAAAGTCATCTAGCTCCCCACCAGCGTCAGCAGCACGGTCGTCCAACATAGCTTCGCGATCTGAACCCTCAGGCTAGATTAGGGGCCTGCTGAAAATAGGTATATTTTATGTCTTTCTAAAAAATGATGTCAATTCATCCACCCTGTGAGGCACCAGCGTTCATGCTGGGCATGCGCTTCCACCTAGAGTGGCTTCAGATGACTCTTCGGGTGACCAGAAAAAGAAAGATGTCAAAGAGAAAACCAATAAGGATAAGGAGAAGAAACAGGCAAAAAAAAAGGACAAAAAAGAGAAGACCACGCGTAAGAAACGGAAACAGGATGAAGATGATGAGGAACCAATCGAGGAAACCTATCCACTTACTGGGGGGGATGATGATGAAAATGACTCCAATGGTGATGATGATGCTCGCACAGGGCAGGAAGCACATGTCCCCAAAGACTTGGGTGGCAGGGGTGGGTCGTCTAAGAGGCCTGCTGCCAATGTATCGAAAAAACCAGCCACAAAGAGCCGCAAGCGCGCGGATGCTGAGGAGCAACCTCCCTCGAAAAACATATCAGTGTCACATAGCATATTATAGCATATCATAACATATCATATTATGATCATAATTTGCCATCCTATCAGGAGCATCAGGAGCCCAACATCAAGCAAACTCTGGAGCCGTTCCACTTTGAGATCACTGGGGGTGAGGAGGTGGGCAAGTGCACATGAAACAACCGATTATTCTAAGTCCAATCACTGTTGGTTTTTACAAACATGGGTTGCCCTTTATTTTTTTTTTTGATAGGCCCATCATGATGCTGCAGAACTGTCTGGCCCTCATGGCTATTTAAGAGTATAAGCCCACTGTGTCCTATTTAGCCCCATGTCTCACTTCCAAGGACTCCTGACCCGAAAGACACCGGTTTATGGGAATACCCTGACAACCAGCTTGGTCTCCAAGACACTCCATACAAACAAGATCCTCGCTATGCACTTTTCCAAGTATCCTGGATTGATTAAGAAATGGATCAACACCATGTTGGAAATTTCACCATCTCCCCATTGGTCCAGCCTCCCAGGTACCGATGCATGAAGGTATCGAAGATGCCAGCAATCCTGAGATGGCTGAGGATCAAAACATGATCAACTGCATTCAACAATATCGTGAAATTCTGGTTCACGGTTAGTGTTTGGGAATCACTTAGTTATGTGAGTTGAGTTCAAACTGACAAAGCAATCAAGTCATTAAAGGTCAGGTGAATTGAAAATATTTGAAAATCAAACCGTGGTCAATGTCAGGTTTTTTGTTTCTGAGATGTCTTTGTCATGTTCGTTCCAAACAACTCCATGATACTGGTGCCCCAGGAAGAAATCGATACGATGCTCCAGCATATGGAGGGCATGGCGCTTCACACTGGCCATGAGCTAGATTGGGCACAGGAGAGGATTGAAGTGGAGAGTCTTTCAGTCACTGAGGGTGATGGTCTTGTCACTAGGGAAATGGTTCAAGCCACAATTGAGGCAATTGATGGTGCCTTGCGAAAGTTACAGGACCTCAGCACCCAAAGGTCACCGCGCAATGACACAGGGTTTGGGGATGATGATGGTATGAGCCCAAACATTACACCAACGGTCCTTGAAGAGACACCGCCAAAGACCCCACAGGTAATTGAGGCATTGCCAACGACCCCAGAGCCTGAAGAGACACTGCCAAATACCCCAGAGTCTGAAGAGACACTGCCAAATACTCCAGAGTCTGAAGAGACACAGCCAAAGAGCCCAGAGCCTGAAGAGACACAGCCAAAGACCCCAGAGCCTGAAGAGACACAGCCAAAGACCCCAAAGCCCAAGAAACGACTGGAGCCGACCGGAAAGTCAGCATGTAGCAGCAAACGCAAGACAAAAAAGACGTCACCAAGCAAAGGCAAAAAGGCAAAAGCAAAGGCAGCATGCAAGGCAAGCGCAAAGGCAGCATGCAAGGCAAGCGCAAAGGCAGCATGCAAGGCAAAAGCAAAGGCAGCATGCAAGGGAAAAGGCAAGGGAAAAGGGAAGGGAAAAGGGAAGGCAAAAGGGTCTGATGCAGATGATGCAGAGACAGTTGCATTGAAGAAGAAAATGCATTCAGCAGCTAGGTTTAAATTTCAAGTTCAAGTGCAGATAGTGCAGTTCAAGTTCAATGTGCTTGGTTTTTTGTTCATGCTCTCTGGAAGCTTTTCTTTTGCCCAGTGTTCTCCCATTTTTGCATCCGCATCCTAGGTCTACTCAAACGCTTGGGTCGCTGCGAAGAGGGGAGGAGGGGCAGGAGAAGATTGGAAAGAGAAGGCTGCTGCGGTCAGGAGAGAGTAGCTTGGTTGATCATATTTGGTGACAACCAAAATTCATAGAATAGTTCATAGATCGATCTAAGCAAGGGTCTTCAGATTCTTTGTCAAGTGATCATGGAGCCCATCCATCTACTTGCCAAAAACCAAAATTCCCAAACAACTCAGGTGGATCGTTGCGAATCACTATGAGGGCCACCCAGCTGCTGAGCAATGGGTATGATCCAAAAGAGGTCCACCGACCGTTTTGCATCCAAGGTTCACTGCGTTTCTAAACGCAGAGACGCTGGGAGTTGCGCACTTGGGTTGGAAAATGGCTGCGTCGGCCAACTGGTCAGGACCCACATGGTAATTGGAACAGACCCAGATACAGTTGGACATTGATATATATATTATTTATATATATATATATATACATATTTATATACGTATATATATATATACTCCCTACAAGTATGCTGAAATCTAGCCCACTCTTTTAGATTCTTTTAGTGGAACTGCACTCCCCATGGTTTTATGTAACCAATTTGTCCGATTTCATGGGCCGGGCACCAATTGACATCCCTGAAATAGCGGGGATTTAACTGATTTAATAGCTGTTCAACCAGCACTTTTTGCCGGTGCCCCAGAAATTGGCATTAAATGGATTTGTTAGGTAACTTGGGAGCCACATAATAACTAGGCTAAGTGTTAGATTCATTGTATGTCTTGAACTAGTGGGACGGGCTTTCAAGCCATGTTTTTTTTTCCATTTTGAACCACTATTAGTCACTATAAACCATTCCAAACCCGCTATCAAGCACTGTAAACCACCAGTAGTACGCACCTGGGGTTGGAATCCAATCAGGATCTGAGATAGGTCTTTGAGGTCATCATTTTCTCAGCGTGTGCCTCCCAGCATTTACTCATCCTGTTCTTAGAGTTGCAGGTCATGATGTTTCACCATGGGATTTTGATCCACTCAGATGTCTTAGTGAATGGATATACTCTAACTATATATAACTAGGAATGGATGTAACTATATATAATTAACATTAATTAATTAGATAACCCCTTTAACCATGGTGAAATATGACACCACGAAACGTGAAACGTTTTTTCACTGCACAAGACGAATCTATGTACCATCCTTGCTCCCATGCTCGTGACCACTTTAAGTAACTTGATCCGTAATTTTTTCATGTTGGGGTGGATCTTCTGGAGGTGGGAATGGCTCTGAAATTGACATTAAAATTCAAGAGAGCAAACAACTTACTTGTTGGGCATTTTCCATGTTCATGTTTTGTTGTTTGTTTTCACACCTCTTGGTATCACATTGTGACTCAAGCCGAAACCTCATCATCAAAGACGCAACAGCTGTATCAATGGGTTTCAGGAGCCCTGCCCCACGTGCTTCCAGTCTGGTTGGCAAAAAAAATGTTTCAAGATGTTCATGGGAACAAAGAACCTCTTGAACTTAAGTGTAAATTATGTAGATATATAGATAGACGGCATGATCTCGTACAAAACCCAATTCAAAAAAAAAATACAAGTAACCACATAATTCATATAACATATAAACGACATTAAACAAATATAGAATGGCATTATCCTTGTCATGGAAAAGTTCAAACATCTGTTTATCTTTCAAAAAATACTGGGTATATACGGTATCTATTCCATTCATATCCCATGCCGAGGTACTGCGGCCCGATCTGCGTGGATGGCCATTTGATCACGAATCGCGTGACGTCCAAAAAGTCCTGGCGGAGAACCCGGCCGTGCGCCGCCGCGCGGCGTAGCGGAGTTAGACACTTACGACTCGTGCCTGGTTGCATCATGGGGATAAAATTACACATATATATATATATATATATAGATATATATATATGTATATATATATATATTATATTATATTATACTATATAATATTATAATATATTATATTATATTATATTTTATTATATAGTGTAAATATATTATATCAAATTATATTATACTATACTATATTATTTTACATTACATTATATTATATTATATTATAAGAATATATTATATATATAATATCATTATATTATATTATATTATACTATATAATATTATATTATATTATATTAGATTAGATTATATTATAAATAATATATTATATTATATATATTATATTATATTATAGGATATTATATTACATTATATTATATTTTTTTGTATTCTATTATGTTATGTTATGTTTTATTATATTTATATTATATCAAATTATATTATATTATATTATTATATTATATTATTATATTATATTTTAATAAAATATAATATATTATATTATATAATATTATATTATAAATATATTATATTATATTATAAATATATTATATTTTATATTATATTATACTATATTATTTTATATTATATTATATTATATTATATTGTATTCTAATTATATTATATATATATATTATATTAAATTAAATTATATTATATTATATATATATTATATTAAATTAAATTATATTATATATATTATATTATATTATATTATTTATATTATATTAAATTATATTTTATTATATCATATTATCTTATACTATATGATATTACATTATATTATATGTATAAATAGTATATATACATATATGATATGTAAAAATCTATGATATATACGTTCTGTTCTTTTTCAAACAGTTTGCCATGGTATGGCCATTGAGTTGGATGTTCCTAAGAATGGTGATTGTCCAGTGAATAGCGGTGCTGCGCCATGATCCGGCAGACCACCGGATGGGTATGTGGTGTTTTCTTTTTAATACATGATAATGTATATATATATATATATATATCATAGTAATCTATAATCTAGACATGCTGTCATGAAACAGTTACATCACTGGGGGCCACCACAAACAGTACCAAGTGTGGCCTATGAGACTAAAATGCATGGAGCTCATAGTTCATTGTGGCTTCGGCTCGATGCTGGACTTACCTCGATGAAATAGGCAAGCTGCAGCTATCGAAAGCTATCTTCATATGATGGAACATATGTATAATATTATTGTATAATATTGTATAATACGTTTACATCCGTATCATATATGAATCTATTTATAATACGTTAATATCCGTATCATGTATAATCTGCATTGCCTACTTGCTGTACTCCTTGATTCTTTGCCAACATGACAATCCGGACATCTTAATGGACACTTTGGTCTCCTGATATGACCTATCTGGTGGTGAAACCAGATGGACTTGGATATATGGGGATATCATCACCAGGATTTATGATGATCGATATATCTATAGATCATTGGGGTTACAAACCAATGAAATAATGGGGGTACCCCAAAAGCTGGATGGTTTACAATGGAAAATCCTTCTTAGAAATGTATGATTAGGGGTATCCCGACAGGAAACCTCAATTGGCACACTCGGACGCATGACCCAAAAGGTAATCCTTTGCTTGCAGCATCTGCAAATCCGCGCCCAACTTTTCAGCACAGGTAACTCTGGGTGATATCCATGCTTCCTGAAGTTGAAGCAGGCTGCCATGCACACCATGCACTGATTGCAAGCCTCTCGTGGGCTTCCAAAACTGGTGGGCCTTAAACCGGAGTCTACAATGCACTGTCACTATACCCTGAACCTGCCCGTTGAATCTCAACCCCCGAGAGAGCTGAGACAACGGGCATATAGCTGGCACTGGGACTCCACAAAAGATGAACATGTTCTGTCCATGGAGAAAACTGGGCCCTTCCAAGAGATGTCAGACATCGTCCTGAAATGTCCTAAACTACTATCCCGAATTATAAACTAGACCTGCGCATCAATCTTGTTCCACACACCTGACGGCAATACGATGAACTGGTCGGCAAAGTCGTTCATCTTCCACAGACGGTTTCGCAAATCACCTGTGCAGGTCAAGTCAAATGAGCCAAAATACCCCCCAATCCAATGACATGGTAACCCCATTACCCCATTATGGCTTGGAATAGTGACCAGTAAACCAGGTAGTATAAGCTCCTATAAATGTATATATGTATACGTATACACAGCAAATCATTGTATGTTTAATGGCAGAAATGCATTCATCGTCCGACGTTGACTTGGAAAATCATCATACCCCAGCACCATACCATCAATTAACCCTGGCACTGCACAAAAGTCATCTACAACATGGCAATGCACCGGCGATGTAACTTTATACATCCAATGCTTTCGTTGGATATTGCTGGCACATCAACTTCAAGCCACAAGGCAGTTGGAAAACTACGTTGTGCCATAGCCGTTGAGCAGCAATCGAGCTTCGGCCAAACCATTTCACAGGAATCCCATGACCAATGGCAACTTGTTTTGAGGACGAAATCATCCAGTTTCCCCCCATAGGACCAGTTGTAACTTGGTTTATGGGCCCAGTTAAGTATGTATATCTATACACAGTATATATAAATAAACAAATATATGTATATATATATAATAATAATAAAAAAAAATAATAATAATCACAATCATAATAATAATAATATATATAATATATATAATATGATTCATCCCTCGTCATAAACCCATCCGTTAGCCTAATCATGTTTACCCAGATTACATGACAAACGAGGGCACCCCCTTGTGCGTAGTAGTGCCGGAATGCAATTTCACTGACAACTGCGCTAAAAGATCCTCCAATGGCCCACTATCAGACTTGAGCCCGACAGGAATCAGGTTGCCGGTTTAAATAAAACAATATTGAAATTCCAGGGATCAGCGTCAGCGTCTCAAACAGAAGGACACAATAGGACACATAAAGAACTTCTTCAAAACCACCACCTAGTTGTTTGTTTACTTCTACCACCATTTTTGCTTCTGAAATCACACGGATTTTTGTTGGTTAGTGTTGGTTGCAGCCTCATATTTGTTTGTATCAGCCCTTGTTTTTTTTCCTCATGGTGTGTAAACTCTCCCGGAGTCCCCTGCCCGTGTTTAAACCAAATTTTGGGCACTGATCTTCTCACTTGCATCATTGATGTTGTCCTTAGATCTTCAGTTCACTCTGTGTCAATTTAATAGGGATGTACTGGGGATATCATGAGAATGCATAGTTGAACATACTAGGGATATCAGGATTTTTTTTGGGAGAACCACCAACCAACAAGATTTTAAGGTGGTATTAATATGTATTAATATATTGGATTATGAAAATTATTAATGGGCAATTCATGGGATATACGTGGGGAACTCTACAAGGTGCCAACAGTTCGCCTAGGCCCGAGGCACCAATGGGCAACCCAGTGGATCTATGGTTTCATTCATTGCCATGGTGAAAACATGGGATTCATTCAGGCTATTGTCATCCCACCATCATTCGGGAATTCTTATAATAAACCCATATAATCCATGGATAATCCAATTTTTGACCATAACACATTCAAACAAAAAACCTCCTGCAAATTGTCCAGTCCAACAATGAATGTGGGAATCAATGGACCAGCGGAGATAGTTAGTCCTGACCATCATCAAATTTGATTTGGGGATTGAAAAATATGAACCATATGTGGTTCTGAGTCAAAGTTTAGGCATAATTTACCAACAACCAAAGGCGCAACAAAATTGCAATATTGGTGCTTCTCTTTGGGCTAGACATTTTGACCTGACTATGTCTATGCGTATATCCAATATGTATTCATCTCATCCAAACATGATTATCATGTACAGTCGTCTTCAGAGCCAATGATTCCACCAAAGAGTAGTAGTCCGCTTGCAACTGCAGGGCATACTTGTTTGTGAACCTCAGTCGCGGGGAAATCTGGCCAATTCCCAGGTCATGTTGTTGCAGTCTCCCAGCAAGTGAACATCCAGTGCCTAGTCATGTCTGGTCATTGGAGTTTGCTTCAATTTTTCAGAGACAGAGATGTTCATTGTAGATGCTGCAGACAACAAACCCGAACAAAACCAATCATGTTCATTCCTTTTGTTGTATAGTGTCAAGTGTCAAGTGTACAGACAGTATGTTCCGCCGATTTTGCTCGGCGGGGGTAAAAACGGACCGAGAGGACATCTCAGGGCTCAATATTTATTGCTGCCACTGCCGGTGAGCATACATCTAAAAGACCACACGCCCAGACATGATTTCAGTCTGCCACCATCCATGAATGACAGCCTCATCTGTTTGACGGTCTTGAGATGTATTGAGTTAGTGACCCTGCAACCCCGTAACCTCAGAATAAATTTGTTTTTTGAAGAGAAAAATCATTTGGGAGAATCAATTCTTTGACGTACTCCACTCTTCGTCACCTTTCAATTGTTGTTCTACAGCCCCTTCGGATCAGTCAACAAAAAACTCTTATGTCCAGATCTCAATGGGCACTGCCGGACCTCAACCGCGAGCTCCAGATCTCAGTGTGCACTGCCGGACCTCAACCGCGGTTGAGGCCCGGCAGTGAGTGCCCATGTCAGAGAGAATGTCAGAATAGATGCCAGGTAGATGCCAAACATAATGCCAGAAAGAATGTCAGAATATATGCTAGATAGCATGCCAGAAAGTTACCAGAAAGAATGTCAGAAAGAATGCCAGAAAGAATGTCAGATATATCCAATATATACTTCCAGATGGTTTATGTCGGAATAATGTGGCAGGGTGGGGATCACTCGAAGAAAGTAATATATTCTCCTGTGTCTAAAGAGACCGGGCAACCAATTTGTAGACAAAACCAGAAGTCTGGATACCGGAAATGAAAATGGCAAGCTAGCTGGGAGAATGTTCGATAATTCACCAACCTTAACTTCAAAAAATGGGGATACCCCTTACAATCACCCTCATTCCAGTGACTTCGCGACGTGATCATGATCACATTTATCCAAATAGTTAAAGCAATTCTCTAGCGGTAAAGTTTATATAGTTTATATCATATTATCTCCAAATATATCACCATTATACCACCAGAATGTTGTTTCTTGAATCACCAGTTTATCTATCCCTCTATTTTCCCATATTACCCACCATCAAAGTAGTTTTTCACAGCAAGTTCTTCCACCATGACAACTTCTCTTTTTCAGGAGACTTCTTCTCATCGGCCTTCACGCGAAGTTTGATCTTGGTTTGCTGGACGTCAGCCTGAACAGTGGATTTGTGGATCATCCGATCGGGAAACCAGCCGACTTTTCCACATCTATCTGAGCCCCAGGGGCCCCATCCGAAATCATGGAGCTTACCCGGTTACCCTCTTATAAAAAATTGCCATTGAAAATTGCCATAGAAATAGTGGATTTACCAATTAAAAATGGTGATTTTCCATAGTTATGTTAGTTTACCAGAGGTTATAAACCAACATTTGTTGGTGCACCGTGCAGAATAAAAACGGTCCGACCTGTCTGGTCCCCATGCCAAAATCCCGGCCACGGCCCGGTCATCTGCGTGCTTCATGGTTTGTTAAGTGAGGACACAAAAAACCGTGACGACCAAACAAACTGTTTATGCACGGTACCCTCTGGTAAACTAACATGGCTATTGAAAATGGCCCATTTATAGTGGACTTACCCATTAAAAATTGTGATTTTCAATAGCTACGTTAAATTACCAGAGTGTATGTGTGTCATTCCTTTTTTTATACAGCTCAACAAACATGCAAAAATTGTTTTACCAAACAGAGAGACTTGACAGGTAACGAATGGAGAGGTTGCTACCAAATCACTGCATGTTTTCGTTTTGGGAGTTCTTGCATCTCCACCAATTCGTTGCATCCAGATTTGAGTAACCGCCGCCTGTTGTTCTATCTGTTGTCTTTGGCTTGGGAATGTTTTATCTTCCTGAGGACACAGTAAATAGTATGTGTATATAATAATAATAATAATAATAATAATATATATAATTATATACTATATACTATGTATGTCTCTATATATATAATATTCCCAAGCCAACTATCTGTCCTCATACTCATGTAATTTAATTCGGAATCGCAAGTAAACTCTAACAAGCCACAGATTCCTGCAGTAGAATGGTGTGATTTGGCGCAATCGGCACGGGAAAGGAACCATTGGCCCTCCAGCGCTCGGGATGTTCGCCTCCGTTGAATCCCCCCGTCCCCTTTCCGCAGGGTGCTGCACTGCGCGTTTCGATGGTTTTCAATCTACGAGGTGCCATAAATGGTTTTGTAAGCCCAGCTATCACCCAAATGTTTGCCTAGAAACAGAGTTACCTAACAAATCCTAACAAACTGGGGCACCACCTGGGTTGATCTTTTTTCAAGTGACCATGAGGACCATAGGGTGAGGAGGTGATGGTGTTGCCGACGCCCCAACGCTTACGATCGATGATGGTGTTGTAGTTCCAAAGCAAATCCTCGATGGCGCTGGCACCACCAGGTGGATCTTCGAAGAAGGGTCAACTCTTGGTCAGCCCTGGGCACCTATTGCTATATCATACACGTACGCAAATACAATTACAAAATCATAAACTTATATAAAATATATTAATACTTTTAAATGAAACCGTGGATGACAATATATATATATATATATACATAATTATGTGCATATAGTAATGCCGGAAATTTGGAGCCAAGCCCAAAGTTAATTTTACTTCCCAGTCTCCATCTCTTTGTTCAAGTACATGAGGATCTTGTTGATGTAGCGAGCACGCGGCGGCAAATTTTTCTCCCCGATCGGTCTGCGCCTGGCTGCCCAAACGGTTAGCTGCTCGTTGGTTGAGAGAACATGAGAACAAGTAGTAGGTTAACCAAGATTTATGGTACAGTAGATATATTTATAGTATTTTATAGCGCAACTGGAGGGCACTACCTTGTACAAATGCCAAACAGGCTAGTCAGCTTTGTTTGGAGGATGATAATCTATATATATATATATTATATAAATCTATCCTGGAAACGTGGCCGACCCCTCGAGCGAACCACCAGCGATTTCACATGATGTTACTACATTGTTCTGGGTCTGCATGAAACCTGTGTGCGTAGATTTGGGTAATTTCCCAACTGAACCACTACAATCCTCAGCGGCCTAAAGTGATCACTTTTGCAAACCTAAGGCCCAGGGAGAACAGAATATATGGTCCACATGAAATATTATATGAAATGTCTAAACAGTCTAAACATGTCTAAAAATCATCCCACTTGAATATATTACAACTTTGGCCCATACTCTTATGATCCCAAATGGCTTTGTCTCATGTTCATTCATTAGATTCTCGGATTCTCCAACAACCCAACGACGCCTGCGGCCGTACAAGGATCTCCCAGACGCATCAAAAGTCTCCTCCGTTTCCTCCATCAGCATACGATGGGTGCCTAGGTTCAACAATCCAAGTTCTGATGGATTGAATGGGAACTGTCACAACATCGGTGGTTGAAGAGCCCCAAGCAAATCAGTTATGAGGATCTTCATCCCATATCAATGGTCCCCGCCGACAATCTATCCGACACAAATTAAAAATTAAAACACAAATGATCTGACACTCTGTCTGACATACAGACAAAATATGTCACGTTCTATCTAGCATTCAATTAATCTGGAATTCTGTGCCATATATTCCGACATTTTATCTGGTCTTCTATCTGCCAGTTGATTGCGAGAGCTGGCGAGCTGGTCGCGAGGTGGTGACCTAAAATCTAGAGACCCTCACCTGGCAGGCAGGGATATCCATCCATATTCATAATGTTCAGCGTTTCTTAGTTAAATTGAATGCAACCTATAAGTATGCTACAATGTGGGTCCCCCTAGATAGCTAAAGCGGTAAAAAACACTCCAATAGCTATGGTTTATGATACGCAACGGACATCAATTATTATAGATTGTTATAGTATGTTTAAGGGGCTTCGAAAGCAACTTAGCTATGGGGCACCACATATCCATGAAAAATGGAAATCTCCAAGGTGCGGTTCCAAATCACTGCATAGCCAGTGGCGTTCTCAACCTCCAGAGCTGAACAATGGTCCGATGGTTGGTAAATCGATGTGAATAGATAGAACAGCCAAATCCTATTGAACTCAGTTTGTAAATGGCTTTTCTATGCAAAATTCTACCTTTTCGGGGGTGACGATCATTTCGTACAGAGATTAAATATGGGTTTGCATGATACCTCTGAACTTGATGCATCAAATGGCTTTGAAATTAGAACTTCATGTTTCCTATAACGTGAACAAATTGGGCCCGTTTGGGTGAAGTCAAAGTTAACATTGCCCTTTTTTAGAATGTTACACTCGTATCTGCACGTTCGATCCATCCTACCCAATTCTTGGATATCTCTATAGGGGTCTGCTACAAACATCACAAAATGACTTGGACACACTTGGACCAATTTATAAAGGTGTCTGTCTCATTAACTACATCAGCTTTTCTGGAACCCCCTTAGTAAACAAAACACTGTCCACACATGTCAACACTCCCTGGTGCCGGTGGCCCATTTCATACCATCTCACACCGATTTGAACATGAGCTAGCTGTCGCAAGGACGAAAACCTTCGAGAAAAAAAAGGAAAACGTCTCGTTTTTTAGCGCACGCAAATTGTAAATATATCGAATGACTCCCATCCACGAGTCACCAGGGACCCTGCCAAAGAAACAATGGCATCTATGGTTGCTGATGGTTACTGTATTTTCCAGCAATACTCTACATTTGCCCGACAAAAATCATACAGACAGATCCTTCACAGTTGCTTCACCCAGTCCAAACGAAGGCCTTGTTCATGTTTTATGACTTACTGGTGCTTAGCAGGGAATGAGGGAATGATCCATAATCACTAGTAATAGTCATCCCATTCCCCCATTGGCATCCATTCCCTACTAAGCACCAGTAAGATGATTTCCAAGATTTGTTTCCATGATGTCACACTCCCAAGTGTCTACTCGGCTCATCCAAAACACCAAGCTCAGCGTACCGGTCAGGGTTTACGAAACGTTTACCCAGCCGAAACGCCTTGTCCATGGTATAATTGACGTAGCTTTCCAGAATCGTCAGCACTTGGAACTCCTGCACGATGGGCGTCTGGAGCGGAGCCAGGACCTTCTTGAAGTAGTTCTTGGTGCTGGTGCTGATATCCTGCGGGGTTTCAGGGACCAAGGAAGCGCAGGTCTGGTGCATCATGTATAAATATGTATACAGTAAACAGCCACTTATATTATATTATATGTGAACATGCAGCAAATTACAATAAGTGAACGTTCATATATATGTGTATATATATGTATATATATATATATATATGTAAATATATATATATACATATCACTGTATATCCGACATACAGAAGCCATACGGGCACAGTCTATGTAATTCATGCCTTTCAAAGATATCGTTTAGTTTATCACCATGATTTGGCACGTGTGGGTTTGAAAACTACCAATGGTGGGCTGGTCATGCCCTATTTTCATTGCTGGGTTTGACCAACAACAACTTCCATGGCTAAGAGATGCTAGGGGTATGGTATGACAAACAGCTTGAACTCACCAATATGGGGATATGGACCCCAAACATGGAAATTTGGGATGATTTCTCTCCAAAAAAAGGTCGTCAATTTGGGATGGCAACCATCAACCATCAATGGACGGGTGCTTACACATGCTTACACATGCTTACACCCTGATGGGCATACAGATTTACTGTATGTGCTCAACCAATCCCCAAATGCAATCCGGATGCAACATTTCGAGGTAATCAGCTAATTGTCCTTCTGAACTTGACATTTCTTTGCGTTTCTTTGGCATGGGGAACCCCATGCCAAAACATCATGAAGCGTCATGATTTTTCCCATTGAAATGGCCATAAACTGGGGGCGTATCTTCCCAGCTTGCCAGCCTTGAGCCAGCGATTTTCTCGTTCTGGCTCACTGAAAGGATCGCTTCCCAACCCCCTCAGTTGGGTCGATTGAAGCCTCAGCGCCCAGAGAAACCAGTCGAAAATATCAGTTTTGGAGGGTTTGTTAGTGGCAATTTTGAAAAAACATGTTTTAGCTAACGGACTCGTTACCGTCTCACAAATCCACATTCGGTTAGTCTGGGGTGGGGTGGGGTGGGATAATAATGTCAGTTGCATTTCCACATGAACTGGAAGCTACGCTGCATGATCTTCATTTGCACTTTCATGATCTTCACTTGCACTTCATACTACGCTATTTGAATTTCTACGTAAAATTTTCATGATCTTCATGTTGATGCTACGTTTCTGTTGATGCTACACAACTCACATCTCAATCAAACCATCCCTGGAAGTTTGCCATCGAAAAAGGGCCAGGCGCGCAATCCTCAAATATGGAAATGCATGCGCTCTTTCCAGTGGCGGTGGGAGTGCACAGGGAGAAACCTGTTGGAAGCCACCGCTGACGCGTTGAAGAAAATGTGAGAAAAAGTTGCGGTTGCCCTTTTTGAGGCTGAAGTGATGGAAGGGTTGTCATTCCAAAAGTAGACGGAGTTTTTTTTTGATAGGTTTCGAATGCTCAAATCCGGCTGCTCGCTGTGAGGGCCTCGTAATTTTGATCATTTTCTCACGCCGGTAACGCTTCCGGCGGGATGTTTTAGTGGCAACTGATTATATATATATAATAATATATAATATATATATATATAGAATATATATATATATTATATCTATATATATATATAATATATATAATGGTTGCTATCTGGTATTTTCTGATGTGGTCAAATTTAGGGTGTCGATGTTTCGCACAAGAAACACGTAGAACAAAAACAACTTACTGCAAATCCTTTTGAAATATTGTAGACCAACAATAAGGCGTAGGAAAACCAACGGAGATAAAACGAAGACAGATGGTGACAGGGGACGACCAGGGGACCAGGGAATTGAAATCACGGTCAACAAACGACTGGCGATTTGGGTGGTTTGAGATTGGGTCAAGAATGATGACCATCCTTTTATGTCGTTTTCACTATCATTCCAAGCAACAAAACATTTAAAAAAACATAAGCGGCTACGCAAAGTCGACCATTACGTTGTCGCAAGCTGTTAATGGCTAAATGCGGCGAACATATTTTTTCCAAAACGATGTGTTAAAGGCCAATGTGTAAAACTTTTAAGGGGGGTAGTACCAAATATGCTTGAATTTTATGGGTTTTTCCCAGCTGGATAAGAAAAACATATGTTATATGATTGTATATGTATATGTATGTATATGTATGTATATATATATATGTAATACACACTCATGAACATTTTACTGAACCAGATACGTGTACACTTCAAAAATCACCAAAATATATGTTTTGCCTGTTTTCTACATTTTTGTTCATATCAAACTATCATTCTGAACAATTTGCCGATGAAAAAATGGAAGTATCATGTTAGTATGATTTTGAAATTCGGGATGTCTAGATGTATGATTGGAAGTAACATGAAATACAGTGTTCGTCTACAATGTGATTCTGTCTGCCTGCGCACACTGCCGTGAGGAGTGACCTGGTTTTTGCATGTGTATTTTAAACAATATTATGTTTGAATTATTTTCCGTGAGTAGTGAATAGTATTGAATAGTGACATGATTTAGGTCAGGTATCATGTTCAAACAAATCGTGATTGATCATATTCATGAGATTTTATGAGTTTGTTTAATCATGTTGCATGTATTTTACTTAATCAGTGCTCCATTCTGAGCATTCCCTGGGGTGAGAAGAAATGCAATGATAAGAAACATGTTTTTCCTTATTATGAAGCTTCTGGATTGCTTGGGAATAGGCATTCCACTTGAGCGCTCACTTGGCTTGGGGTCTGGATTCGGTCTGGATTCCTCAACCTTAATGGCTTCGTGCGTAACGCCGTCGCGAAGAACGCTAGGGGAAATACGACTTGTGAATTACGGTTGATGTCACAGTTGATATGATCATTCGCATGGTCTCAAGAGCGAGTTGCAAGTTAATGTGAGAACACATAATGATAAACCATACTCATACAGTTCAAACCATGTTCAAACCATGTCCAAAGAGTATAATTGTTGAATTATTTTATTAAATTGAAATGATACACACATGAGAAGAGATGGTAAACAATGGTTTTGGCTATGGTACACTTATACCAAACCCACAAATCTTGATGCGTGACCCTAAGCTTCCCCGGGTACCAACCATGCCCAAATTTCATCAAATTTCCATCCCCCCAATCCCAGATCATGGCAGGGCTGTAGTTGGAGGGATCGTTTAAAATTAAAGCCCAATGTGTATGGTAATGCTACGTTCATCATTACCCTATTGGCGGAGGGAGGGTGTGGTTGTATATCCTCTTATGTTCCTACTACATTCCCATGTATGGCCTGTATGGCCGTTACTTACGACTTATGAACCAAATCTTAGGACAAAACGGTCGCCATGGCCCCGTTGCCACGGCTCGACATGACAAGACACACCTTGGGGTCGAAGACGGTGGGATCGGCTGCTGCCTGGACCAAATTCAGGCTATGTTCAAAAACTAAAGGGTTCTTTCTGGGTAAGGCTCTGCAGAGCCACTTGTGTGTGTGTGTGTAACATCTGAATAGATGTAAAACTTCTCTCTTTTTCTTTCTTCTGTCCTCTCTCCCTTTTTTAATAACGCAGGGGGCGACAGGGTCGCTGCATGGCTGTCGCCAATGAAGCTCCATGCAGTCGACTAGGATATGGAGTCTGATCAACTCCACGTACCTGCCTTTTTTCCGACATAGCACGGGGCCAAGCTCAGAACCCCAAACACAATGATTTTTTCAACTTTGTAGAATCTGGTTTGAACTCTGTCATTTGACAACATTGGATGCTCTACATCGTTTTCGAGAAGTACTACAAGGGGCTCTACTGTAAGTCTAATGGTCTAGGCTGGTTTGCACGTTTCAGGACTCAGTTCCTGCCGGATCACTATAATGATCCTTTCTTGTCTAGTGTGATTTCCATGGTGGCTCCGACATGGTGCCATGGAGCCATTGGAGGCAACCCTGTTTAGGGTGAATGATGACGGACCAGATTTCAGAATTGACAATTTTGAATTAGTAATCCGTCTAGGTAAAGCGCACCAGTGGGCCTTGTGGTTATGCACCTTTTTCACCATGTCCCGCTGTTCCGGATGTCCCAGGGTTCCTCGCCAAATTGCCTGTCTATCAGAGTGAACGCGGTCGAAATCATCAGAAACCTCGTTTTCTCTGCAGCTTCAGTTTTTGCGGTGACACATGACATGAGCGACTGAAGGCAACAGGCATGTCCTTTTCCTGCAGGTGTGGTCTGTTTGGTTTCTGGTGAGGTCAAACATATTGTGCACCCAATTCGTTGGAACTCGTACAGCTGTTAAATGCCTTTGGGCGCGACCTGACCACGTTCCCGGAGAGGAGTAACGCACGACTCTTAGGAATTTAGGAACTGAGTTCTGTTTTTAAACTAATTAATTGTTTTGGTTTCTCTTGTTTGCCATCAACTAGTCCCCCATTTGGTCTCTAATTCTCCCTTCGTGCCTCTCCGTAATGTGTCGTGGGGTTTAGGTGTGTGCTCTGTTTTGGTCAGGTCCGTTTCGCCGTGTAGGTTGGTTCCGGAGCCTGCGCTGTTTTGGTCGTTGGCCCGTCCTTTGTGTCCGCTTTTTTCTTTCTCTTGCCTTTCAGGGTTGACCCGGCTCCGGCTGGGTGTGTGTGTGTAACATCTGAATAGATGCAAAATTTCTCTCTTTTTCTTTCTTCTGTCCTCTCCCTTTTTTAATAACGCAGGGGGCGACAGGGTCGCTGCATGGCTGTCGCCAATGAAGCTCCATGCAGTTGACTGGGATATGGAGTCTGATCAACTCCACGTACCTGCCTTTTTTCCGACATAGCACGGGGCCAAGCTCAGAACCCCAAACACAATGATTTTTTTCAACTTGGTGGAATCTGGTTTGAACTTTGTCGTTTGACAACATTGGATGCTCTACATCGTTTTCGAGAAGTACTACAAGGGGCTCTACTGTAAGTCTAATGGTCTAGGCTGGTTTGCACGTTTCAGGATTCAGTTCCTGCCGGATCACTATAATGATCCTTTCTTGTCTAGTGTGTGTGTGTGTGTCACAATCTTGTACCCCAAAAAAGTACTTTCATACAAACCCTCTGGATCCATGTTTCTTCTGAGGAAGTATTTAGGGTAGAGGGTTAAGTCCCTTCTCAAGAAATGTCGAAATCCAGAGGAAACAAATGCCACAAATATGCACGTTCGTTGGCAAATTTGACAGCTGTGTCTCAGGAGTCCCAAACTGATGTAACACCATCTATAAACGAACGTATCATTCAGTAGTGCTCTGCTGAAAGGACCGACCTTGTATCCATCGGGTGTTGGCAGTCACAACAAACTCGACTGCTTTTGTTGTCCAACCCTCTATATAGAAATAATTCCATCAGCCATGTCACAGACGCCAGGACTGCCAATGTCAAAAATGCCATGGCTGACACAGTCACAGTGCGTGTGAAGTGATTGGTGAACACTCTTCAAACTGGAACAAAACTGCAGCGAGAATCACCATGGGGCACCCTGGGGCACGTTCGCTGGCCGAGTTGGTCAACATCACTAGGGAACTGTTGGTTGCTGTAACTGTTAAAGCTATATTGGCTATAACCGATACATACTTCTACCTACAATATCCTACAATAAAATAGGAGGATTTATAGACTAACTTAATTCGGGTGCACCAACTTGTAATACCTGGTACCTGGACTGACCAGAGTTGTTTCCGCCTCTACCCCAGTCTCAGTCTCCAATAGGCTTGGGCTCTTGAGCTTGAGGTTCCAATAGAACCCGGTAGGAATCGGAATAATTCGGAATATATTGTATAAGAAAGCATGTTCAACCCAACAACACAAACTAACTGAGGATATCTTCAAACAAACCCCTTTCTTCTCGCTGCTTTGTGAAACACAAAGGACCACCTTGGTGGCCTTGGTGTATCCCCTATACAAAACACCATTCCGGGGGGGAAGGGGAAGGGTCAATCCCATTCTCACAATGTCCTCACTTTACAGTTTGTCTAGGATATGTGTTTAACAAATGACATTGTTGGCTTATATATGGGGGTTTCCATATATGGGTGATCCCAAAATGGTTTTATAATGGAAAGAAGCCATTCAAATAGATGATTTGGAGGTACCCCCATTTCAAGAAACCCTCATATCCAACTATACATAGATCACCACAATAATATATTCAGAGTTTTATACCCCAATTCTCGGGTGCTAATTCTTGTTGGTCAACATGTCACATCATATATCTGCAGTGGATATAACACTTCCAACAATCCTCACTGAAATGGGTGTGTAAAAGTGTGTATATATCTATAATTCCTATATGTACGTCAGTATCAGCATATTCTGTGTTCACTTCTACTTCAGGATAATTGATACGTGCTCTACTATCATCTACCTATATAAATTGGGTGAACATCAAATAAACAAAACAAAATAAAACAAATCTATCATCCAAACTTCGACAATGACACGACCCAAAAAGACACATTCGAGGACTTCGGGGTATCCAACGCAAATCCAGTCCTCAAAGGGCAGTTCCCACTTGTCTGAGATCATCACGGGTACACATCCCGCAAATATCACCTGAACACTGCGAGGAAACGTCGGACTGTTTCCCCCCGACGTAACATGGGGTGTTTACATCTTGGCGGACACAAAAAGAAAAACATGTTGATATGAACGCAACCACAAAACTGTTCATTAAATAGTAGAGTTCTGTTCTGTTCAAGGAATTTTATACCAACCTGTCAAAACATGTCACATACCAGACGTTGTATCAATTCATGAGCTGCATGTATGTGAATGAACACATCTTCTGTTGATCAGCTGCGTTTATGTCCAGCCAACGTTGGGGAAAATTATTATATCTGGCGTGCCAAGTCATGAGTTGTCATTCCACCTTCACAGTGAAGTTTTCGCAGTCCAAGCATAAAATTACATAAAATTGCTGTCAGGAGCCGCTCGGCATGTTTACTCAAAAAAAAGGGTATCATTGGATGGCACATCAAACAATTCCAGAAAAAAGGGAGCCCCCAGCACGGTGAGGGGCCATCCCCAAGCCCGACCTCAAAGAAACGCAAGGACCAGCCAGACTTGCCTTGCGACGGATGTGGCATGGTCCCATGGATTGCGATTGCACCATGTTTATTCATTTTTGGGTGAATGGGATATACCCAATTGTTTCGAAAAAAATAAAATAACTTAAATTGATGATCAATGACAATGAAGATGACGATGATGATGATGATGATGATGATGGGCATTCGATTTGGGGGTATCAAGCTTTAAGACAATCTCAGATACTTCAACTGAGCTAACAAATGACATCAGCCTTTGACACCTCGTGTTTTCATGTTTTTACAGAATCAGATGAACCGATTCCTACATGGAGCATGGACATGGTGGGACATCAAATGCTCCCGGCTGTGAGATCTGACAAGAAACATATCAGTTTCATCACTTTTTCCAATTCCAAAATTCTTTGAACATCAGTTGCTTTTTTTGAATATATTTTGGAATGATGTTGAAATATATTTTATTCCAAAATTCTTTGCAATATTTGAAATTATTTGATTCAGTTGCTTTTTTGGAAGATATTTCCGGAGAACTGTGAATGTATGAACTGTCTGGACATGTCATGTTCAGTCCAACATGGACCCAGAATCCATGGGATCCAGAAAATTCTCAGCTACGTGTTATGTGTCTGTAAAAAAATCCAATGTAATATGGACTTTGATTATATCATATGTTCATTGACTGCTTGGTTTCCCTTGCAGATCATGTTTAAATGATTTAAATGTCTATATTCTATATATATACACAGTATATATATATATATACAGTATATATATATACCACCCCTTATACCAACCCAAGGTGTACAAACCGCAGAAGTCCAAACTCTCCCCTTCTTGTGGCCTCTGGGCACGAAGCAAAACTTCGCGTCGCCATAGGCTTCGTGCATCACCTGCCGAGTTTCGGTACCCTCTGGTTATGTCAACAGTTTGCCATTGAAAATGGCCATAGAAATAGTATATTTTCCCAGTAAAAATGGTGATTTTCCATATGTTAAATTACCATATAGGGTAAATGTTGGGATTATAAGCCTAGTTGGATACATCTATGTGGCAATATGTGGGATAGATTTATCTATGGTACGACTGGATGTTAAAACAGACTTTCCTAATTGGATTATGTTTATGTTGGGATATATCTATAAGGGATATCTTGGGGTTTTTGTTGGGGGTAAGGGATGTTTATTTGGGATTGCTTTTTTTGTTTCAGGGGTTTTACCCTCCAGTAAATTATACCATACACCCTGCCAAATGGAGGGTTGGAAGATTAGTTTCCATGAAATAGATAGGCTATATTAATAGGCTACTTTCAAGGTTTATGTTAGTTTGCGGCTGAATTTGTATTTTATATGATTAATATGGATTGATCATGATTGATCAGTTTTTTTTCACGTATAAGCAGTGCTCCAAACCCTGGAATCTGGTGATATTTATGGGCTTACTCGGCATGACATCCCATGAAATACCTGTTGAGAACGGGATTTCCTGGGTTTTGGCACAAATTTAAACATCCCAAGTCCACTCTACTATATAATTTAGTGTTTAGCAAATTTTGTCAGTTACTCATATATTATATATATATATAGAAAAGTATAACATCCCAACCAAATCATCAACCAACAGCGTTTTTGAACACTGCTCAACTGGCAAAAGTATCATTCGAGGTCTCCGCGCAGTTCGTTGGTTACCCGTTGGGTTTGTGGTGATAATACATAGGTGGGTTAATCAACTTATTACGGGGGACTAGGGGCGTCATTCACATACATTTGGATCATTTATAGAAGCTTGGTTTGACAACCTTTGCGAACCAAACAGTCTCTGTGTGGTCGGTTTTTTGCGACCATGCAGTCGTCAATTTGAATCATCATCCTATTTCCAGGGAAAATGTTGTTGTTTTTCATAAATGAAACTACCAACCAATTGAGCTTACATTCATGAACTGCTTGATTAAATGATGGGGTTATATGATATAAGAGGTCGGTCTACTCCGGACATGGCATGGTCCACGCCTGCAGCGTTGCCCCGTCGCCGAACTTCATGTCTTCGGTGCCTGGCGCTGGAATCTGGAAAGCTGTCCATCTGGTGATTTTGAAGGGTAGCCGGTAGCTATGGGAAATCATCATGTTGAATAGGTAGATCATGGGAAAATAATCTATGGAAATCATGATTGAATGGATAAATCAATTGAAATCAAAAGAAATCAACGGAAGACAATGTAAATCAGAAATCATATAAATGGGCCACTGTCATAACTCTGTTCAATAATCAGAGGGTAACGATTGTAGCACCCCAATTGGCAATGGAATTTCTAAGTATGCCTTTTGCACCCCGCCCCCAAATATAAAACCTATTTATTGTTTTTTTTTTTAATTATTCTTTTTTCCTGCATTTACGGTTATGTTTATCTAAATACAGCAACCCCTAAATAGATAGAACAATTGGAGACCTGGGAATTATGGGGAAAACCGCATTGAAAACGGCATACTTTTTGGAGATGCCCCTATATCTATCTATCTATCTATCTATATATATATTATTACTAAAAACACACACACAACACCATACAACAGGGTCCTTGGGGCGGTTTCAAACAGTCTCAAACATAGTGTTTTCTCATGTGGAATCATCGTCTCAGGTAGGAAACCAGCATCAGGAAATTCGGATCATGTTTCCCACAATGGGCCCGCAACTTCCGGCAATGGATAAATCATCGATGAAAGGCAGACACTCTGCAGAAATAATCAGTTTATCAAAGGGATCCAAAGGGCAAGAAAGGGCCACTTTTTTAGATCTTCAATGCCCCTGATCTGGTTGGTGGTTGACCTACCCCTCTGAAAAATATGCTCGTCAGTTGGGATGATTATTCCCAATATATGGAAAAATAAAATTCATGTTCCAAACCACCAACCAGTGATTGCCAAACACAGCTTGCTGAAAATGACCCATTTTCATGTCCCATGATTGTCCTATCCAAATGCGTTCGTGGATTTTTCATTGCCATCTTCGATGACAGCGGCTCAAGCATCCCACGAAACAGCGGACAGTTGCTGTATTTTTTTAATCTGCAGCGCGGCACTTTATAGCCTCAGACAGCATGCATCAATGGTGACCAGTTGGATGGTAACCAGTTCTTGTGGTCATCCATGGTGGGAATCCTTACGAGTATGTGGCTCCATATACATATTATATATATATAATATGGATTCATGACCATCCCAAGGTTTTTTGGGAGCCCAACATTTCATAACATTTCACCCTATTGTGGATGGGCCAGCGAAATCCTGCACCAACCGGATGGTTTTTCGACCTATGAATACTGGGATGTTTACCATCAACTGGTGCAGGATTTCGCTGGCCCATCCACAGTACAGTATATGCCACGGCCACACACCCATGTTGTCATGGTACCCACTGACTAAGTGGGATGCATCCTGACAGAAGCCTCCACTATGCCTGCTCATGCCTGCTCCATTGTCAAAATCAACAACCTGGGACACCCAATAATAAACCTACCATTTGGGGATGGTTTATACAACCCATGTATTTCTGGTTTTACCACAATATCCTTAATTCTGCAAGCATCGGCGAACCCAAGACTGTCGCGTCGACAAGGAAACCACTAGGAGCTTCCATGAGAATCATTTGTCGCAAGCCAAAGCAGGTGGCTGCAGTTCAAAGTTTCAACGCTTGGCTTAGAATGCATCGTCTTAAATTTCACAAAAATCCCAAGAACATCATTAATCCCAAAAGCAGTCATAAAAAATATCCCATGGTTTCTATCATTTCGTGCTTTATGTAGCCATAAACCTGGGGCGTTAAAACACCGAGCAACGACTTCAACTGCAACGGCGCCAGTTCCAGGCCTCAGCCCATTTTATGATTGGTATAATAAGATAGGATCAAGTAGTATAAGTGAAGTATAGTAAAATCATGTAACATCCTATTAGTCATAGTTTATCATAGTTTACCTATAAATCCAGAGAAACACATGATAAACTAGATATCTATAAATATACTCTTCAGTCATTTGAGGGTTGCTGAAACTGTAGCAAAATCCAAAAAAACACTAATACACACTGCCAACAGTTAGTGGTTGAATCCGAGTTTCACAGCACCAAACACTTAGATTGGTCGTTCTTTATATGTTGGTATTTTACAAACCGATGTAGTACTGGTGCGTAATGGTTCGTATATGCAATGTTTGTTGGTTCATTCTCCATATTGGTGATATAATTTAATATAAACCCCATGGATTTAGCTCCACTTCAGGTATTTGGATCATGTAGGCAAAGGGAATACAATGGAACATCATAATTATATCATACTTGTATCGGGATGGGCCAAAACCTATTATTACATAATATATATATATAATATTTAAAACTATATATATATACATATAAATGAATATGTATGAGTATATTAAATATAACATTTCCAATATATATATATATATAAATATATATATATTATACCTATAATTAGAAAAAACAAAGGGAATAACCGTCCAGCTATACCAGCCCTGAGCTGCCCTCGCGGCACCAAATCTCGGGCCTGGGCGATGACCACGGCAAGTAAGCCCATCAGTTATAGTTATAGACATATAGTGACACATAGTACATATATAAGTATATATATATAAGTATATATATATATATAAGTATATATATATATATTTGTATATATATAAATATATATATATATAAATAAATATATATATATATATATAAACATAGATAGACATAGATACAACAATAAACAAACTTGTGATTAAATACAATTTATACTATATATATTTGATGATTTATGATATTTCAACCACACAACTATATATATATATATCAAAAACTCAAAACAACATGACAACGCCAATCTACCTGTAGGTGGCCACAGTTGAAAAGTTACATTCTAAGGCTTGTGGAAAGGAAAGGAAGTACAGCTTGCTTCAAATTGAGGGATGAAACGATTGACTAATTCAGCTTCCCTTATTGATGCTTTGGCTCCATGAGCTCAAGAATATTTCTGAACCATCAGAGGACCATCCATGGACATTTAGACATGGGAACCAACTATTTGGGTATGGCGACCGGAAACCCCTTTCCAGCAGAACTACAAAATTAGTTGGTTACATTCGGTAACCGTGCAGTTGAGAGGGCTAAACAAAAACACGAGAAGCTATGTATCATGTAGATATGTCCCAGCATTTCTAATTAATCAAGATTCAGTTAATTCCATTGATCTGTGTATATATATATATACATATACACATGCATACAGAAGCAGGAAGGGGGCCCCAATGATAGTTAAGTGAATTTATAGCTAAAGTAGGCGAACCAGGTTTTATTGCGGACATCTCATGACATATCTATAGTTATATGGGGTTATAAACCAATTTATGATTGGGGGTCCCTTCCCCAAGGGGGTAGCAACAATTGACAGTAGATGAATATGATGCATTGCTAAGTGTCCATGCATGCTTACTTTTACTGCCTTTACCTTTTAACGTTGTAATTACTGACATTCCCAAAGATTGCTTCTCTATATAGTACAACACATGCAGTCACCATGTTGGTGGTGAAAACAGCGTCCCTATAGTGGAATACCCACCATCAATCAATAGCCAAGTATCACAGTTGAAGCCCAAAATCATTGATACTACCCTCTGGTAATTTAACATAGCTATTGAAAATCACCATTTTTAATGGGAAAACTCACTATAAATGGCCATTTTCAATAGCTATGTTAGTTTACCAGAGGGTATGACACTGAAAATTAACAATCAATGGATCTGAATGATTCTGACCGTGGGATGCTGACCCCAACTGAGCCATACTGAGCCTCTCAGCCCCCTGAGAGCATCGCGCAGTCTGCAGCTGCAGGAAATGGAGCTCCGCCAGAGACTCCTCTGCTCTTTTGGCAAGTTTGGGTATTGAAATATGGCTATGGTGCCTATGGTTCAAACATCCGGTACCAATCAGCTTGCAGAATTTCTTACACTTTCTCGGATCATCGCCGAATGGGTGAACCATGTTCTCGTGCCCCTTCGTCCAACCAAGTTTTATTAAGCATCAACACTCATGCCTGGGAGATTTATGTATTTGCTTTTCACCATTTTGGCCGAAAAACTCACAGTTTTTTAGATCAATGTCCCATCATATAAGCAGTGTTCAAAACCGCATTCCATTTCATCCTAGTTGGTCAAGAATGGGATTCCCAGTTCATGGATTGTGATAATCCCAAAGAAATGAAATGTATATAGGTTAATGATGAACCTCCTGAACTAATCATCAACCAACTGCTGTTTTGCAGCCACTGCTCATATGTGGGGCCAGGGTCTAGTGCTACATGTGGGGACAGGTCATCCCATGCCATGAAATCCAAACAACATTAGTATGAAAATCCTGAAGATTCCCGTCTCCCAACATGGATATATGGAGGTGTCCCAAAATGAGGAATTGCCAGTCCTCACCAGAGTTGTTTCAATACTAAGTCATGGTCATCCATGACTTGGATGATTTGTGAGTAGCCCTGTTTTGGGAACTCCCATAATCAATCGATTGGCTTAAGGGAATATTTACAGGAACCCCCATCATGGTTTCCATGCGAAAATCTGATTGGTTTCCGATGAAGATTTTCCCTTAGACCAATCCCTTGATGCAAAATTTATAAGGGAATTGGTTAACTATCAGGGAATTGGTTATAAATTGGTTAACTATCCAACCATTAACTAAGGGATGTCCAATTCCCTGATAGTTGATGCTAATAGTTCAACTGTTGACCAACTGGCACACTAAGGCATGAACCCAGCACCTGCTCCAATGGCGTTTTGGGACGTGCGAAGCTAAACCTGCAGCGCTTCTGTAGATTGCTGGGTAGGCAAATGCATAGGCAGGCGGATGGTAGGGTATGTACGTTAAACAAAATATAGTTGAAATAAATACATCTGAAATGTATACATAATATACAGTATACAATATATACACACAATATTATTTAATATGTATTGTCAATCTACATAATATACATATATAATCATATATATATATATACATATTGCATTATATGTACATATATAGAGATATATATACATACTCGCCAATGCTACAATTGCATAGCTCATACAAAAGAACCCCCAAAAGATGGCAGCCTTTGTTTGTATTGTACGCCATCACTTTTTCTGGCCCGCTTGGCACTGATCTGCGATGCATCAACCCATGCGATCGGAGTAATCCTCACGATCGGACACCAAACATGTTTTTCATCCAGGACGCCTCAGGCGCGCATGACAGGCCGCGTCGCCCAGAAGGTTTAAGCATAGGAACCTTCCGGGCGCAGAATCGTCGGGGGATACCCCTGGAAAAATGATGTCCGGAAAGCTGAACCAATGGGCACCTCCGAATTTGTTTCTCGAGCTCCAAGCGCCTGACATGGTGATATCAACCAATATATGATATATATATGTATGTATTGGGAGGGTGAAAGTATATGAAATGATATGTATACAAACTTATTGAGTAATATATATACATATATATATATGGGTATTCAAATGTCATGTATGTATATGAATGCACTATATAATAAACATATATAGTAGTTAAATATGGGATTGTATGGGCATGGGTTCCTGAATAGAGAGGTTTTGGACTGGGCAATTAACAACCACCTTGTAGGATCAGTTGGGTGTAACCACGGTGATTTGAAAAAATCCCCATAGTGCAGCTAGATACCCAGGAATGGTTAAGCATGATTGAGTCCTTGCGTAGCAACATACAAATAGGTGGTGTTTAATATTAAGTGCAGGCCATAGAGTTGTTCTTTTTCTATTGGGGATATTCTGTAAGTGGGGTATACATTTGGGACCATCTAGGTGGTGTATAATCAAAAAGGTGAGGCCCTCCGGATGTAAGTTGATATAGTTGATTTATGAACCCATTATAACCCATGAACTATCTGGTTGGTGGTATACCTACCCCTCTGAAAAATATGAAAGTCAGTTGGGGTTACTATTCCCAATATATGGAAATTCATGAAATTCATGTTCCAAAGCACCAACCAGCTATATATACAGTATATATTGATGTACCCTCTGGTAATTTAACATAGCTATTGAAAATGGCCATTTATAGTTGATTTACCCATTAAACATGGTTATTTTCCATAGTTATGTTACTTTACACATCAACTTTTAACATAGCTATTAAAAATGGTCTATAGTAACTATAGTAACTATAGTTATAACCCATTAACTATAGTACCCTCTGGTAAACTAACATAACTATGGAAAATCACCATTTATATAAGTCTTCCCATGAAAAATGGTGATTTTCCATAGTTATGTTAGTTTACCAGAGGGTAACTTTAGTCATACCCCAGTTTTTGTCAACTTCGCTGGGGAAAAATTGGGCCGAGATGCGAAGCGCTTCCTTCCTGCCACAACTCTCGTTTGGCGCGATCCAACAAACGCTCGGCCTGGCCAGGTGGTTTCTGGGCGTGCTGCCCATGATTTGTTTTGGTACCCAGATAAAGCCAGTTAACAATAGATATTATACCCTGAGGATCCATGTATGGAATATTTACCTACATTGGGATTATTTTAAATTACTTTAGGGGTCAATGTAGGTAAATATTCCATACATGGATCCTCTGGGATATATATATATATACCGTACCCTCCAGTAAATTAAAATAAACCCTGGCAAATAGGGCTTGGAAGATTATGTAGTTTCCACCAAAAAAATTGTATTTTCAGGGTCTATGTTAATTTACCCTAGGGTATTCCTCATAAACATCCACAAAGCCTGGTTAGCCCATGGGGCACCACATTCTCGCACTCCTGACTGAAACCTGGCTGGTTGTGCAATTGCTTACATGGGTCTAGTCCCGTTCATGCGGGATCACGTTCTGAAAGTTCACGTGGAACCATTTCCAGAGGATGGAAAACCATATCAAATCATATCAATCAAAGTAGGGATATTGGTCATGAAACGTTTTACCATAACTCAAGATTGGTTTGACCCGTAAAATCCAGCCGAGCGTCATCAATTCATCTGGAGGCTGGTCCCGACTCGGACAAAAAAAAGACTACCCTGACTTGAAGAGCTTTGCTGCAGGAAGGGACCAAAAGATAATGGGTAAGATGGGTAAGTTGGTGTGTAAGCATGATAACTTTAGGATGTTTGGTGGATGTATCTATTATATATTGCTAGATAGGCTTATGTAAACCACTTATATTTGCGAAAGGGGTCCCTTCCCCCTGGGGATGCTGACAATTTAGGAGACTTGCTGAGTGTGCTTAGTTTCAGTACCTCTTGTATAACACTGTATTTGCAGTATTTGCTGACATGTCCCAAGATTGCTTCATGCAGTCACCAGGTTGGTTGCTAAAAATAACATCCCCGGAGTGGAATCAGTGGAATATCTTCCAGAAACTCCAGCAATGACTCATCAGCATGGAACACCAAAATAATTCATAATAATTAAACATGAACAATAACTAGATCAAAATAATTATTTGTCATTTCCGATTAGATTATCAGAAGGTAGGCAACAAAAATGGGATCTGGACCAGTAACAACTTCAAACAAAAACAAACTGAAGATTGATAGTTTGGAAGCACTGATCGTCTACTTAGGGGTGAATTTGGAAAGAATATGGGTATAAACAGCATGGTTATAACTTATAACCCCCAACCATGTCCGTTTTTACCCGTCGGTAAACCCATCAACCAAGCAGATACCTTGCTTTTCCCATCAACCTATTATAGCTGGGGGATTATCCAGAAAGCCACGCTTAGTTATGTGAGGCTAACCGCTCAGATATGGTATTCCAATGGAATTATCCCATCACTAATCATATTAGTGATTTATCTTTTATTAAACCACCATTCAATCACTCAACCTGCCCTTCACCTGCCTCCCGCTCCCTTAAATGCAAACCACTCTGGTCAGGCGGTAAAGACCAATACCTCGCAGGTATTGGTTGGTACGTTCAAGCTGTCCGAAATACTCTGGCGAGGTCACAGTCATCCGAGGGAAAATGGGGATAATTAAAAGTCAGAACTATTATGTATGTATGGATGGATGCATGCATGCACGGATGTATGTATGCGCGCATGCATTCATGCATGGATGTATAAACACATATATGATTACATATACTATATTAATTAAATCTATATATTTTATATTTAGGAGCACCCAAAACATATACGAACATACGTTACCATTATTCCGGTAGGATTATCCATTTTCTATCTGTTGGGAAGTTACCCTGGGATCATGCCGGAACGGAAAGTCGACGTGACGCTTGGTTGACCCGGGCTTCAACCCAGCCTGAAACATGGTTAGAAGCTGGGATCCTATGAAGACGTATGGAGGTGGGCCAGAAAAATGAAGCTGTAAAGCAAAGGATCTGGTTATCAAATGTTTGATGCTAGTTGATGATATATGGTACATATATAAGTACGATGAATGTATTGCAGATTATTCAGATCCGTGTCTCCAACTGAAAGGGACATCGCACAAATTGATCGCGCGAAATAGCCCCGACAATTTCAAGCAAAGGGTAGTATGACACAGTCACTTGTATCCTCGGGAGTGTCTACAGTGTATGGCTCAAACTATCTCAAAGTATAAAGACCCCAAAGTCATCCAAAATTGGCTAAATATATATATATATATATATAATCTATATTGATTTATGCTAAGTTGGCTACAGCAACCATACATATATACAAAATAATCACATCACGATTTATATCGAATTATGCTAAATACATCTAATTGCTAAATACATCTAAATACTGTATATCATATCCACAGATAGGGCTTATACACACTGAGTCATACCTGTGATGACCTTCCTGTCAGTACAACTTGGACGCCGGGCCCACGCTTCATGGCATTTTCCATATCCTGCCATAGAACATAGGGATGATAATTCTGTAGTAATTCGGTTGAATCACCATGAATTAACTAAATGCCTTCATTGGGGTTACTTATGGTGAATAACAATATTGTAAAATTTATAGGAGGGGGTGCAATTATTACCACCCCTTAATGAGGGCTAATAACCATGGTGATACTAAACATGGTGATACTAAACATGCTTGTGGATGACTAATGACCTAAGACCTCACATGGTGGGCTCCACTCCGTCCATCAAAAGATTGTTTTTTCCCAGCTTTCGCACCTCCACTGACACTTTCCAGGCGCCATCTTTCGATTTCAACGTCTCGTTGAGTTGTGAACAGCTGGAATGAAGCGCTGGACCAGCCGCACATTGGGCACGCCTCCGCTGCGGTGGAAATAGGACGGTGGCTTTCTAACACCAACGATGCAGATTTGGTCTACTTTCACTCCCAATGAAAGTCTTAAATCCCCCAAAAAACGTTTGTTACATCCCGATATTCCATTGATATTCCCATGATATATTTGATTCGCTTCACCATGTACCTCGACTTAATCCCACTATATCCCTATAAAAATGGGTTGGTATGATCGAAATTGTCACCTGAAATATAGTGAAATCACCTTGTTTCTATATATGTGCGGATGGGTCAAACCCTATCATTATTGTATGTGTGGGGATAAACATTTACTATCCAGCTATTTTGGGGTACCATCCGGGTACCAGGCTTTTGACTGTCATAGCCATTTTGGACAGGGCGCAGAAGACAGGGGAGAAGTCCGCTGAAAGCCTCCTGCCCCGAGCGGCCATCCAACAGCTGTGCCTAAGAAGCCGGTGATGAGGTCGGTCATTGCAATGGAATTCATGGAAAGTTCATGGAAATTTGATGGACATTTATGGAGATTAAACAGACCATTTAATGGAATTCATGGGGATTGCATGGAAATTAAAAGAAATTCATGGAAGTTAATGGAGGTTAGTGGAAATGCGAGGAAATGAAGATAAATACATCATGGAAGTTCATGGATGCTGTTGGGGAGTAATGTGGAGTAATGCAATCACTCAGACCTCCAAGCAATATAGGCAGACACAAATGCTATGACTAGGGCTCATCCATTCCCTTCTCAAACGTGCAGAGTTAAACATAGAGCCAATCATGGCAAGTACTTGGCGCTTTATGACCACCAGGTATCTTTGTTGGTCTATGCTCATCGCACTCAACTATATATATATACAACATAAATAAAGATCATAGATCTATACAAATAAACTATATATAAATATAAATATACATATCTGGCATAAACCTCATAAGCCTACTCATGTCCCAGGTCGCTACCTTCCCACTTCCGACAGTTCCCAGTCGCAATGATTGCCAGCACCGGCGCGGCCGCCGGCGCGGCCGTCGGCGCGGAGGCAGTGGCGCCTGGACTCGGCATGCGAGGCGGACCCCCTGACGGATATCATGGGATACATCAGGGAATCTAATGGAATATTTATATATATATATACAGACATATAATAATTATAAATTATAATGTATATATATATATAGTGATATTTATATATATATATATACATATGTGTAACATTGTGTAACCAACAAGAATCTGATTTGGTTATCTGAAAATGGGGTACACTAGGCACCCATGTTCCGGCATGGACTCATCGGATGATGATCAATTTGGGGTACATCTTCAGACAAATTCTCGCGGTCTGGGTGACGCTTAATCTTAGATGCGCTGCAAGAGCACCTGTATTAGTGAGATCATGTGGGATATCATGGCCACATCTCAAGCAGAATGACTAGAAAATCATGGCCAGAAAAGAACCCATGAACACCCACAACTGACTCACTGAAGCAGCCAAAGTTAGATGTCATAGTAAAATTTTCTTCAACCTTCGACAGCATTCGACAGCATTCGATATTGCAGTGATTGAGTGCTTTAACATGGCAGTGTGTCAAAACCTTGTACCCCTGGTGAACATCAAAATAGCTGGTAAATGGATGTTCATCCCACTAAAAATTGTATATAATAGGTATTGATCCATAGCCACATCAATACCTAAGATTCACCATCAAAAGGTGTTTAGTCTTACTTGGTGCTTCACCCCTATATACTAAGCTGGCAGAGGTCCAGTGACAAGTGGGCTACCTCTACTTACCCAACCGATGCCAAGGTATATAATCCAGCCATAAATCCATCAGTTAGTCTAATAATAAACTAAGTTACCCAACAAACTTGGGCACCACCGTGTACGTTGTGTTTGTTTAACCTTCTTGTTGTGGGTTAAATCAACAATAAACACTAGCGAGCCCATTGCAGACTACGATTTAGCGCTACTCTCAGCAGTACTGTTTATTGCAAAACATTCATTCATACATACACTAAACCTGACAGAACCGACTGGTGTGAGAAGAAAAGGAAAACTAGGAGTAAGAAAGGGTGAATGCAAGTAAAAAACGAGACAATAAGAAGGGAAGAGGTGGCAGTGATAAAGCAAGAGAAGGAAACAAGAGAGAAACAAAAGGAAAAGAAGAAGGAGAAGTACAATACCACGAAGAACAAAAAGGAAAAACATAATACACATATAATGTATATATATATATTTAATATTGAAAAGACAGTGCTGGATATAAAACTGAAGGATTCCCCGAACAACCCCCTGAAAGACCCCCGATTTATGATTTTTCAAACCCCGGACGCAGGGCCCCCGCTACACCCCTTTCCCATCCCAAACCATCAAGTAAACAAAAATAGTTTTCCCTACCACGCACAAGAGGTATGCCGGAGGCATGACCACATGGACATGTCTCCCATGTGAGCTAAATATGCTACGCAACCTCACCAAACAATGAATCATCCAAGAACCCAACACAATTACATGGAAACTTACTCTCGAAAAATGGTAAGATGATACGGTATGTATTATATAGCAAGACCAACAAAAACGCAAAGACTTTGACCCTTGACTGTAAAATCCTCATTCACCAGTCGTTTGACTTGACTCAACACACTCTGGATGTCTACAAATAGGAACAAAAACATGTTTTCACGCATCTCTGAAAATAGGATTCGGATACTCCATTTCATCATATTCCATCCACTGGTTCATCATCTTCCTCATGAAATGACCCTTTTAAGACAAAACCACATCAAGAAACGTCACAGGAACCACAGAATCCTCACCTGTCACCTGCAAGAGCTCTGCGGCTTCAGCCATGGTGGCAGGACCTGAGTTTTTTGGACATGGAATTCCTCAGCTTTTGAGTCCCGTTTGGGTATATAGACTGTATAGACTTAGATGTACAACCTAACTTACAACCTTATATATCACTTAATTATATAAAACGTGTTCAGATACACCATCAATCATCACAACATTTGTCTTGGCCGGCATATGGCCTTTTCATCAACCTCAAAAACCGCCCACTTTGATGGAGGCCGGGTGCCCGGCTGAAGCATCATAAGCATCTTAAGTCTGAAAATAAACCCACGGCAATCCGATGATTTAAAACAGATCATCAGTTTCACACTTGAGATAGCCAAAAACTAGGGGCCACAAAGTGGAGTCCATCACTGGCCCATCACTGATTCCCACCAGCCTTCATCTGAGCAAGCGACGTTCATCCACCAGCACCTCAATGAGAGTCGCTTGTTGGGAACATCATCAGATATTCCGGCCTGGTTATATATCTCATGATATGGGGGGGTTTTCTCAAATATGGGGTCCCCAAGTCACCATGGGTTTCAATACTAAGTTATGGCAGTTCATGACTTGAATGATTGGGGTACAGCCATTTTAGGAAACTCCCATATGTTTTTGTTTTTAGTATTCCGCTACACATATATCCCAACTGGTCCTTGAGAAAAATATTTTCGGAAACTCCAGGATTAGGGTTCATAGATGCACAACGCTTACCCCGAAGGAACCAATGCTGTGTCAGCCATGAATCTTACATACCCTGACAAACACAGTTGATTAGTAAATTGTCCCATTTATGGTAGAATATATACAATATCACCCTCTGCAAGTTGACAGCAGTACTACTGTCAAGCTCGGAGTAAGCCCTGGGAACATCTCAAACCAACCTGCTCAAAGCAGCCGCAAGAACCAGCAACATGAGTGTTCCCACCCCAAGTGGATATGTTCTAGCCCAACAGGTATTTTTGTGTGCCACCATGCATCAAAAGCAAAAAAAACACCCTAACCCATAGGATCCATGGTGCTGGTATATATGCTAACATTTGGGGTATATTGATGGGATCCATGTTACCATATATAGCAGCACCATGGATCCGATGGGTAAGTAAAACCTGGAGGGGTCCGACCACAATTTTCCAGCAACCCGACTACCCCGTTGCTATTGGATCTATTCATTTTGGAGCGCTGGGGGAAATTCTTACATGACATATAGAATCATTAAATCATCTTGCGTAAACGGATAAATATATGGCCATACATGTATGATATACATATGTACAGTTGTATATATATACAAATATATGACAGGTTGGTGGTTTCAACTAATCCCATAAATATACAGATGTATTTGTCCATTTGGATAATCATCCCAAATATGGTGGAAAAATGTTTGAAACCACCAACTAGATAAGGGATTATTCCAATACAATCTACGACAAAGTATATATATATATATATATCCTCTGGTAAATTTACATAGCTATGGAAAATCACCATGTTGTATAGGTAAACCAACAATAAATCACCCATTTTCCATTGTTTTTTGTATGTTTACCAGAGGGTATATGTCGTTGCGGTGATCCCACAATTGGAGCACCACATCAGCGCCTGCAACTCGGCATCTCCACACTTCCCCTGCATGAGAAAATGGGCGAAGTCACCATGGAATCATGGTGAATTGCTGCACATATTGGAATAAACCATGTTTAATACCCTTTGTAAATTGCACATATATATATATATATATATGTATTGGGTGTACATCTAGAATCTACAGTATATGAATCTATGATGATCAATCGCCTCACTATTACAAATAGCTACATTCAGATTTATATATTGTTTATATATACATTTGGATACAGTATATCATCCATGATAAATTTCGAACCTGATTTATTCGTGGGCCCGTTGGTGCGGAAATTCTCGGTAAAACCACACCAATTTTGCAAAAAAACATGTCAATAATTCATGCATAGTGCGCACACTGGGGATATACAATGGTTACTTGTTTATTCTTCACCAACCACATGTGTATAATATATTGAAATATATATATAAGCATACATCATTGTCCCATATCTATATTATGTGAATATTGATTTACATATGTAGTTTAATTCATATATATATATAAATAGAGATATGATATACATAGGTAATGCATAGTAATGTTATTCTAATTACTAATGTATCATAAAGTATAACTATTCTGAGGATCCCAAGAGAAACAACGAAACAACGAAACAAGAAGCAACAAAACTAGACTAGAACCATAGAGCCCAAACAACGGACCAACAGCAAACAACAAACAACAAACAACAAACAACAATACAACAATACAACAAACAACAACAACAACAACAACAACAACACCAACACCAACACCAACACCAACAACAACAACAACAACAACAACAACCAAGAATTGTTTATCCGAGAATTGACGTACCTTACAGTACAGAATTGTTTTTTTAGGAGAGAGGTAGAGATTTAGATGTAGATAATGTACTGTACTATACTATACTATACTATACTAGGCTTTGTTGTGCTATGCCATGCTGTGCTATGCTATGCTACACGATACGATACGATACGATACGATACGATACAATTACATAAATATATACATATAACTTGCACTATCATATAGTGTACAACATAATGTGTATATATATATATATACACATCGAATCCCAGCGGGCTACCGAAATAGTATGATAATAAACTTTGATCCATGATAATAAGTATATTAATTAGATTGTTATTACAGTATGTAATGAGAATCATGTTATAGTCTGTTACAGTAAATCTGATATATTTCACACCATCGAGAACGCAGCCTGCGCATTCAACGCTTCCAGTGCTCGCAGCACACGCTCTCGACGACCCGAGAAGATGTCCACCGCGCTGTAACTGCGCTTCTTTTTTTGGAGCTTGGAAGATGGTATAAGGTGGGACACAATAGGAAAAATGTATAGTATAGCTGATTTATGATAGCTAAGTTACTTGGTATTTCAATAAGTATAGGCAGTTATATATTGAATTTATGGGGATTCGGTACCAACTTATCACTGGGGGAATACCAACCTGTAGAGATTTTATGGTGAACATATGTGGGGATATACAGATTTACGGAGATGTTCTGGGGAGTTGTTTGGGGATTTTATGAGATTTTATGGGGATTTGTGCTGATTGAATGGGCTTTATTTATGGGGATTCTGTGGTTTAATCTTGTCTTTTTGGTTGATGATTGATGATGTATATTAATGCTGGGATTTGCTAGATTCATGGTAGATTTGGCGAGAATTTCATGGGCAGTTATTTAATTATTGAGGAGGAGGCCATATTCCCATGATGCTTTTGAACCTGAAACTTACTGTAGATGGGTGGGCCATGGATTGTTGGTAGATACGGCAAGTAAACTTACACACACACAAATGATAAGTAACTAAGACTATAAGAACCACCAACCCGAACGAAAATGCACAAATGGAACACTACGATAAACAACCTTCAGGGTACCAAGTGGGGGCCCGAATCAAGTCCTGGGATAACCAAGAAAGACATGCAGGCATGGTGCCGAGATAAGCGTGGGCATGTAAAAAAAGAAACATGAATAAGAGCCTTCCACATCTTCCACATAATTTCCAGGAAACATAGATGTGACATGATGTGACCACTGTGAGACCAAGCTCTTTAGTCTTTGGAACTTCCCTTCACTAGTGACCCAAGGAAGATTGTGACCTAAAGAATGAACCAAGGAAATCCTGCAACAGTCGGAAGGCATGCGTACGCATGCAGCATGCACATGCAACAGATTCAAGTGCTGCCATCCACACATAGCAAGGCCATTGACCACCAATTGGTTTCAACAACATTACGTGGCTGTGGCTCAACATTCCTAATCCCCAGAAGATTGGACGCTTGATTACAAATACAATGATATCTGTGTAGTACAGTAGGTTCATTGGTACAGTTGGTCGCAATGCCCATGGGGAATCACCACTCTTCCCAGCTTTGGTTTGATGAGGGGCGTCCCATCCAGAAACAAACATGTTTTTCTACTTCTGGCTAGTAGATTCCAGGAAAATAAATCACTGGTTGGTGGTTGCAATCCCTCTGAGAAATATGCTCGTCAGTTGGGATGATTATTCCCAATATATGGAAAAAATCCAAATCACCAACCAGATCACCTACCGATCAGCAGCAAAGCTGCCGATATTATTGGGTCGAACCTCAGGCTCCCAGGCCTGCCCCCTTTCGCCATCTCCGCCGACCGCAGCAGGGACTCATCTTGCATATGGTAGAGCCCTGAAGCACAGATGGATGCGACTGTTGCTGGTACTGGTGTGATTCACCTTTGGCGGGATGGGGATATAACATGATATCGCCTTTTTAACCACCCAGAGGCAACAAAAATGGCAAGTTGCTGCCATGATGATCCCAGGCCGCAGAGCTGGGACATGTGAGAATGTTGAAGTACACTTAAAATTTTGGTGGGTTCTTTGCCCATTTCGATATGGATCAAATTTTAAATCGCAAAAAAAAACTAACTTGGTTAGTTTCAGAGATTCTAGTAGTAACTAGTAACCTGTCTTTGTCATACATTCTCAAAATAGTTGACCCCAAGACCATCCAAGATATCGGGCATGAATGGGAATATCATCGGTCTTGGGGACCCGCATCCTCAGAAACACCCAAATCAGGAACATGTTCCTTGAATCCATGCTTGGGAACCCTAAACAAATGCCATGAAACTGAAATTTGGCGTCTGAATTCCAAATTGCTTAGTTACTTTGGTTAGGTTGGTGACATACCAAACATGGTTAGGAAATGCTAGGAACCAAACCAAAAATCATGCATCGTTCGCTTCAAAGTTGGCTTCTTTTGGGATGGTTCCCTTTGAAAATCCGGGATTCCTTTCAGGTAGTGAGCATGACCCAATTGATAGATGATTTGCCTATTAAAATGATGAACATCACTACATATATATATATAATGTATTTAATTGTATATATATGATTATATATCTGGTTGGTGGTTTCAACCCCTCTGAAAAATATGCTCGTCAGTTGGGATGATGACATTCCCAATATATGGAAAAACATGAAAAAACATGTTCCAAACCACCAAGCAAATATAATATATATATATATATATAAATTCAGGATCCGTCTATCTGAATCCTCATGGAAAAAAACGCAGCAAAAAAAGCTGGACCGACCTGGCTGCCCATAGAGCTCCAGTAAGCCGTTGCCGGGTTTCAGCTCCACGGTCACCACGCCCTGGGGTATCCCGGTAGGATGGGCAAAGAGTGGAGATATCATGGGGATATCATGGGACATACCCGGTAAACATACAAAAAGCTATGGACAATGGTCATTTATAGTGAGTTTTCCCATTAAACATGGTGATGTTCCATGTTTTTTGTATGTTTACCAGAGGGTAACTGACAGAACTGACATAAACATCAATATCAAAATTCATGAACATGTCAAATGTGTTTGCCCAAAAGCGGCGAGGTGAGCCCCAAAGTTATGGTGGTTTAATGGAAAATAATAAGGACATTATTGTACAGATGTTGGGGGTATCCCATAGGCAAACTTCCAACATGTGCAGTTACAATCAATTCTGGCATTTGTGGTTGAGCAAACACCCACTGAAAACTGCGAAAACCATTGGCATCATACAATGACAAGGTGGTGCCCCCCAGTTGTGTGTTGGTTTACAAACACAGTCAGTTATAAATCTACGCATATCTATGCATACATTCCCCAACAACCTAGTCATAACCAAGTTACCTCTGGGGCACCACCTCAGAGATGCATGATGATCTCACTGATTGGGTTTCGATTGGTGGCGTTGAACATGGCCAGCCTTGGAACACACTGTAATCAATGTCCATGGGGGTAATCATTGTGAATCATGTACGAGGTGTGCCACGTAGATAGCTAATTTGACGCAAATAATCTGGTTAACGCTTGGGTTTATGGGGTTGGATATAGCCAATTATACTTAATGAATCTTAATGAGGTTTATAAACAAACACTCATAATGGGGGGGTGGCGCCAGCTTATACGATATCACTTGATATCAGATAAAATCACGGAAGATGATGATACTTTGTGTTTTAATGCTCAAGAACGGAACTGAGATTCATGAGGCAGTTTCCTCCATCCTCCGCTTCTGCATCTTCATTCAATCCCAAACCAT